TTGGAAATAATAGCTCCTTGTTACCTAAGGAATTACTTAATATTCTATTCTTGGGACCATTCACTTCATCTAATTCAGGGATTCCCATGTTCCCTCATGGCCAGCAGTCTAACAACATCTGAAGGGCCTAGCCATTTGTTTTAAGAAAAATCAGTGTGCTGTTCTCATTATGATATATATCAGTTGAGGCATAGATTTTGATTTCAATTTTCAGTATCATTTTTCTACATCATCTGATTCTCCCATTGAGAATTCTTCTTCCCGTGTATTAAAATGCACTTATCTGAATCATGCCACATTTAGTAGATTTGATATTTGACCTAGGAAAGGAATATAATTGAACACAATAAATAATAAAAGAACATGCTATGTTCAAGAATTAAAAGTCTAATTCTCTCTTGACAGCAGGAATAGATTGTGAAATACAAAGGCTGCACTTGCTAGGAAAATGAATACATTGTATGTGTGTGCTCACGCGCATATACGTGTGTGTGTATACATGTGTTTGTGTGTATATATATATATATATATTAGGCCTGGGTAACAACGGAAAAATTTGTTTCTAAAATCGATTCGTTTTGGGGGGGTTTCCGGGTTTCGTTATTTAAAATAAATCCGAAATTTCCATTTTTAAAAGTTTGATATTTACGAAATTTCATAAATATTTACGAATCGATTCGTAAAGATGGCGCCCGCGTTAGCGCATGCGCAAAACATTTACGAAATTTCGTTATTGTTGGTGTTTGAGCTAATAACGAATCGATTCGTTAAGATGGCGCCCGCGTTAGCGCATGCGCAAGGCGTTTACGAAATTTCGTTATTTGTAAAGCATTAATAACGAATCGAGCAAACAGCCACAGGACAGGGACAAACGCACACACAGGCACACAAGATTCTTCTCTTTTTTTAGGTTATTTTTTGAATTTTTTGAAGAATAAAAGAAATATTTATCAGAAATATTTAAAAATGGAAAATTAACAAAAAACTTGCCCTGCTGTGGAGCAAACACAGCCACAGGACAGGGACAAATGCACACACAGGCACACAAGATTCTTCTCTTTTTTTAGGTTATTTTTATAAATTTTTGAAGAATTAAAAATATTTATCAGAAAAAATGGAAAATTAAGAAAAAGCTTTCCCTGCCCTGTTGTAGGGCGAGAACAGGGCAAAGCCTCCAAGCTGCTCCCGCCTCCCAGCCCAGGTCTCACAACCGCCCTCGCTCTCCCAACAACAATGAATGAATCAATGTGAATGCAAGAATGAAAGCAAGAAATGAATGAATGCAAGCAATGAATCCAATCCAATCCAAGCCAAGCCAAGCCTCCCTCCCGATCCTCCCGTCTTCTCCCTCGCCTTCGCAATGAGCAATGCGGCCACGCGGAGCCGCTTTTAAAGGGCTGCCCGGCCAATCACAATCAGCCACGGTGCTTGGGTGCTTGGGAGCGCCGGATTGGCTCCCAGGGCACCCAGCATCCTCCATCCCTAAAACGTCATTTCCAAAATGGGCGGAAGCTCGTAAAAAGGATGGAGGATGCCGTTTCAATATTGAAAAACCCTTCCGGGTTTGAAAATATGTTTTGACATCATTTTGTAATTGTTAAATATAACGAATATTTAACGAATTACAAAATTAACGAACGAAACCGCCCAGGCCTAATATATATATAGTTCTGATTTTTTCCTGGCATAAGGTCACAACATTTTAATTTTAATCACATAGAAAATTGATAACATTATATATTATATACACAGAGAGACTTTCGCCTATGTGAAAGGCAACTCACTTTCATGGCCAGAATCACAGGGTTGCTGTGAGTTTTCTGGGCTATATGGCCATGCTCCAGAAGCATGCAATTGGCCACCTTTATTAGCATTGAATGGCCTTGTAGCTAACATTATTTATTTATTTATTTATTTATTTACTGTATTTGTATACCGCCTTTCTCAGCCAACTGTTGACTCAAGGCGGTTTCCAACAAATCAGTATACATAAAAGATAATAGACAAAAAACATTGAGCAGTATAAGACATCATAAAAACAATAAAAGCGACATCATCAGCGTCTCATTATTCTCAAGCATTGCCCTACAAACACCACCTAACCCAGGCAGGAATCAGCCAGTTTTTGAAGCTGCAAGGCCATTCAGTTCTAATCAAGGTAACCAATTGCAACATTCATGCTTGCCTCAAACAGACAAAAGTTCTTTCTCCCACCCTGGACATTCCACAGATATGTAAACCTCAGTTGCCTAGTTTCCAACAGATTCCTCAACTTCTGAGGTTGCCTGCCATAGATGTGGGCAAATGTCAGCAGAGAATGCTTCTGGAACATGACCATACAGCCTGGAAAACTCATAGCAACCCACTGTAGTTATTTTAATTACTTTTAATTAATTAATTTTAATTTCAGTAAGAGTAAAACAGCTGTAAGTAAAAACATATAATGAATTGAATTAACATGTAGTGTTGGAATAGGTCTCTAAGGGACCAGGGTTCAAATCAGTTGAAGTGATCTTGGGAAAGTCACATTATTTCAGCTTCAAAGGGAGGCATTTGCAAGCCTACTTTGAACCAATCTTGCCAAGACAACTCTAGAATAAGGTCACCATAAGTTGGTGTCAACTTGAAGGCAAGTGCAGAGAAAAGCAAGAAAAAATTACGCTAACTTACTAATAAAACAAATTATAACATTAAAATCTACTAAGTTTTTTAAAAAAATAAATAAAATAAAAGCACATTTAAGAACAAAGTACAGGTCCAGTCCTTTAAAAATCCCTTCTCTAAAGCTGGTCTAAGAATTCAAGAAAGTTACTTTTTTAAAGTAATTTTCTCCTGTGTCTTGCTACTTTCGTTGTAAAATAGCTTCTTACCATTCCAGAATTGGGAAATACATTTTTGATGTTACTTCTGCTGTGAGTAACTTTCCCTTTACTATTAGCATTTTTAAAGAGGGGGGAGACAGAGTGGTGTATAATGGGGGTCCTATTTAAGGGAGTAGCACAGAATTTGAAAAAAAATCTATTCAGATATGTCCCTATGGACGTATTATCCAAATGTGGCACAGGTTCCATAGAGCTGAATGGAGCTTTGTACTCCTCTCATCATCTTGTGTGTAGATGGCTGTGTGGCACTGGGTATGCTGAGCCACTTGATGGACCGAGAAAGTCCTATCCATCACATTCTCCCTTCCTCTTTGATATTCAATGTACTTGCAACTTATGCCCAGCCAAAAAGAAAAGCGATGAAAAATGTGGCTCTCATGCATTACATATCTATTAAAGATCCCTTTCACAGTTTGTAGGTGCACCTATACAGGTGGGCTATTTGTGCAGAGAAAAGTAAACAACTCTGGAGCCTTATGGAAAGCTCTCATGTACAGGTGCTGGACTGTGTTCTTAAAATATGCGCTCCAAAGGCTTTTTTAAAGGAAGTGAGACATATCCTGAGGGATCTACTCTTCTTGAGTGTATAATTCTCAAGGTTAGTCTTGAAACAGACGTGAAATACAACCCCAATGTCATACCACATGCAACCTCCTTAGTAGGGCTTTAGTGCTGAAGGAGTAAACATCAGGTGCTAGCTTCCATTCTCTAGTTACTTTTAATTCTTCAAGGAAGAAATACTTGATCATATTTTAGTCCAGATTACCTTTAAAGGTCAACTATTCAAAGAGCTTGTCTGTTTTTAGTTATAGCCGTCTTTCTGTAATTATGGATTCAACCATCCGTGCATCCTATAAAATCCTGGATGTTTTAGTTTGGTGATGGGTTCACATGTCTTTGTTAGATAGTTCAAGAGTGCGGACTTGCTCATTCTAAATGTCAAACTAAAAATTCCAGAATTTTATCAGATAGAGCCATGGCAATATCAAAGCACTATAATTTTGCTGTATAACAGTTTTCTGCTTTGATTGTGCCTAAAGCTAAATGTGGCATTCCTGAATTTTGTTTTAATACAGTACAACCTCCATATCAACAGGACCAATATCCATGCTTCCTTTATTCATATGAACCAAGTATGTCATCTCTAAGGATTTTCTAGGTCCTCCAGCTTCTCTATGGTATTCTTGGACTGGAAATTGTTTATTTTAGTAGGTTTTGCTATTACAACTTCATGCATCCATGCAGCTGGATATAGAGGTTGTACTGTACTTCATTTTCTAAAGAAATTAGTCCCTGGCCCTAAATTTAGTTTAATACTTGACTATCCTCAATGTTCATCCTGATAATTAGTTTAATTCTTCAACTTTGATCTCCTGGTAGTGCTCCAAGCTTCCATTTCCTGTTGACTCAGCCCTGATAATTCAGAAGTCTCAGGAGGAGAAAATATCAACTTAAAACTAGTGTAATTTTACCTAATTGTCCTATGAAACAGTGGCTTGGTTTTAGCATGGCCTTCCATTACTTCCATGATTTTTCATAAACAGTAAATCAAGTGCTAAACCTCCATTAGAATTATATGACTTCAGTCTATCGGTCATGACTTGGATAAGTGAATTTTCTTCCATATTTTTTTTTTTAAAAAACTGGAATGTACAAATCCAAATGTCAGGAAACATTTCTACCCAGACGTTTTTCAGATATTCCTTGTGTGTGTGTGCATGAATGTGTGTAGCATAGTGATTCAAATAATTCAATTCTGGACATTCACAGGACATTCAGTCCTGTGAAATTTGATCATCAGCATGAAATTGTAGAGCCCAGTGGTTTGCTCCTCCATCTTTTTAGGGGGTGAAAACTAGGTCAGACTTCAATAAGGAAAGCAATTGCAGTAAATTTGATTTTTAGCAAGAAACAAATGATATTGTTTTTATTTTGGAGCTATTTAACCTGCATCTGACGTAGTTTATGACAGAGATTATATCTGCCTTCTTTCCAATTCACTGACTGTTTATATCAGTTCAATAAAATGACTTTTTGATCTCCAATGTCTATATTGTCTTTGTAAGAATTGTTCAAAAGCAAATAGATTTTGAATGACTTTTTATTGTTGTTCTACAGACTAAAATACTTGGTGTTTTCTTCATTTCATCTCAAGAATTTCTGGCCAATGCTTATGTTCTGGCAGTCCTTCTTTTCTTTGCTCTTCTGCTTCAAAGAACATTTCTCCAAGCCTCATACTATGTTGCCATTGAAACAGGAATTAACCTGAGAGGAGCAATACAGGTACTTGGGATACTTAAGAATGTTTAGCTAAAGAACTGTGACATCTCAGCAGTTTTTGAAATAAATACTCACCTGCTTTTGACCCCCCCCCCCCAAAAAAAATCCAAAACAGACTAGTGTTAAAAAAAACTTTTTTAAAAATGAATAATCATGCAGACAGTATACCTAAACATAAAGGGGCCCCCAATGGTGCAATGGGCTAAACCCTTGGGCCAGCAGGAATGAAGACCAACAGGTTGGAGGTTCGAATCTGGAGAGAGTGCAGATGAGCTCCCTCTGTCAGCTCCAGCTCTCCATGCGGGGACATGAGAGAAGCCTCCCACAAGGATGGTAACACATCAGAATATCCAGGCGTCCCCTGGGCAACAGCCTTGCAGACAGCCAGTTCTCTAACACCAGAAGCAACTTGCATTTTATCAAGTCAGTCCCGAGACAAAAAAAGTATAGATAAAAATTGTATGGGCTTTACACCATACAGTACTTCAGTTGGTAGATGGGCAAAAGGTTGTGGTTTTTTAAAAACGCTTGAAATGAATAGAGTTTGAATTAGTCACAACAAATCCCATTAATAAGTAAATATTTGTCTATGTTTGTAAAATAACAAAAATGATATAATAAAGAGAATTATTATGGTTCTACTGACATGTTCCAGGGGTTGGTGAAATGCAACCGTACAGGTGTTAACTGGGTTGCCACTTCCTGTGTCCTTGGTGGTAAATGTCCTTTGATATACTCCATTCATCCTTTACCATAAATATTTGGTTAATTTAGTATATATGTTCATTAGCAATGCATTGATTTTCAGTGTCCTTGAGCTATGATTGAGAAATATCTCACATGTCATAAAAAGACGTCAACAAAAATTGCCTGAGCATATGAACAGCTATTTAGTCTATTAAAATAAGGCTCTTTTCCATATCGGCTTTTCTCAAAATAACTTACTCCTATAATTATGATCAGTGACCTCAACAGTTTATAAAAGGCTCCTGCACTACATGCAGTCAGTATTTGTGATCATTAAGTTTTGTCACAATATGTACTTCAGTCGATATGTGTCTCCAAACCCAAGCTCTGCATGCCAGTCGCCACATTTTCTCAAAAGAAAAAGTGGTTTTAAACAAGATATGCTTCATTTTGAAATTGAAATAGATTGTGCATGTGATTCTACAGAGTCTCTCCTTCAAGGGATTGGGTGGGTTGTAAATAAAGCATTATTATTATAATTATTTCTAAAGTATTTTTGTGTTTTGGAAGCATTTATTGTGACATTATTATCAATTTGATCAGTTTTTTCTTTAAAAATGAGATGTGAAAGGAAATCATCTGCAAACACCAGTTCTCGCCTTTCTATGAAATAAAGCTTATGTTTTCATTCTAGACCAAAATTTACAATAAGATCATGCGCCTTTCAACTTCTAACATGTCCATGGGGGAAATGACTTCAGGTCAGATCTGTAACCTGGTTGCAATAGACACGAATCAGCTGATGTGGTTCTTCTTCCTTTGCCCTAACCTTTGGGCCATGCCAGTACAGGTAAGAAAATTAAGGGGAATCTTAGCTCAGGAAATTAAATGTGTCAGAAAAAAGAAAGAGGGTGCACAAGCCAAAGACCAGGAAGCGGTATCTATAGAGGCTTTCCCATCTTCTGGCATCTTTGGAGGCTGTGCACGGTTCTGGCCACAGGGCTGTCACTCCATCTCCTTGCGAAAGAGCTTTCTTTGTTCGTATTTCTGATCATAACGCTGTGCCTAAAATACCTCCCACTTTAATGTCATTCCTAATTATCTATTCACACATTTGTTTTCGAACTGCTAGGTACCATCTTGTTATGTCTCTCATTTCCTCTACTTTCAGCTGTAGTCTCTTTCTACTCATTGCCTCTGCCTTTTGAATGATTCACCAATCATTAGTAATAATACCTTTCCCCACCCCTGCTCCTAGGGGATGTAAGTAAACATGTCATTATGTTACCAAGAATACTTAGGTAATATTTGTGGGATTTTGTGACAGATTAGAAACTCAAGAATTGTTAAAGGCCAGGCAGTATATTAATCTGTATTTCAAATTGTTCTTAACGCTGGATTTGCTATAAACTCTTACTCCTTTTCCCTCTACCCCCATGCCCATCTTCCATTTCAGATTATTGTAGGAATCCTTCTACTGTACTACCTCCTTGGAATCAGTGCCTTAATTGGAGCAGCAGTGATCATAGTGCTTGCACCTGTACAGTATTTTGTAGCCACAAAACTATCACAAGCTCAAAGAAGTACATTGGTAAGTATGGTTATGCATATCTGAATTGTTTATTGCTATATATCCAGTTTATCATGTTCAGATTCCACATTTATGACCCCAAATTTCTTATAATATTGTTCTGTTAGAACTGATTAACTTTGTTTAGAATATAATAAATGAGTTCTAGAGCAAATGGTTTGAGCTTTGGACTAGGGCACTGGTAGATCAGGATTCAAATCTCTGCTCAGTCAGGCTACTCACACTCTTTCAGCCTCAGAAGAATGCAAAGACAATGCCCTTTTAAACAAATCTTGCCAAGAAAACCCATAATAGTTTTGCCTTAAATCTATAAATTGGAAATTACTTGAAGGCACACGTCAACAAGAGTAAATCAAGCCCGGACCTGACATGTTTCATTAAAAAAGACAATGATGCTTGGCAAGTTAGAAGCAGTAGAAGTCATCTCACCACCGTACTCACAAATTTGCATTTCTGTTGCTATTCACAGATAGAGACTCCTTATAAAAGTCTGTTCCTAGGCACTACAGCATCACAAAAGCTTACATTAACAACTTTTTTCTCTCAGTTAGTCTTAAAGGTACAACATCCTTTTGCATATTTATCCAGACTAACAAGGTATTTCTTTGAACAACTTATACAAGTATGTTAAAAGGAAATCCCATTTGGCTAAGCAAGGGTTATTTATAGCTAAGGCATATTGTAGCCTTAATATTGTCAATTGCTATCTTCAAGAAACCTACTTGCACAGTGGAGGGTACACACATGACCAGCATGATGGAGGTGGGCAATCTCCTTTCTTTCTTTCTGGTCATGTGGGTGCCCCATACTGGCATCAGCCCAGGCTGTCTTGAAATTAGGAAGAAGAAAGGGAGATTGTCTGGTCATGTAAACAGCTCTGCCAATGTCAGAAAGGAGCGCCCCCATGAACAGGAAGAAGGAAAGGGGATTGCCCTCTCCCTCATGTTAGTCATGTGGGTACCCCATTCCGATAACATCAGAAGTCCCCACAGTTGCCAGGAAATCACACAGACATGATTGAGTTTTCAGACCTGACCTAGCTTCCCAGATTGCCCTGAAGCTATGGGATATTTGGAATTTCCAGCAAAGATGAGAATATTATCTGGCTTTGACCAAAGTGGGGCAAAGTCATTTTTAAGTAAAAAGAAGATATAGTTGTGCATTATGAAGAAGATAAACTTCAATTCAAGGTGAATTTGAATTTATTTATTTTTTTGCTAGTATAGACAATCCCTGACAGCCAGTACAGTGGAGTTTGCATGTAACATTTTGGGAAAATTGATATGAATGCTTTTGACCTTATTTCTGGACACATGGGCGGGAGGGAATGTGAAATGATGGACAGTAGGCATGAAGGAAAAATCCATTTGTAGAGTGGAATCCTCTCTTCCCTGCCATTGCTAATCCCGACTACATCTCTAGTATTACTGTGTTATTTGACCCTATCCTCAACTTGAAAACATTGCATTGTTTTGATACATGTTACAATGACAATACAGAAAATCCTGCTATAAGTTATATCAGCATTGTTCCAGCCACCGTGAAGGCAGACAGAATGCTCAAAATTTATTATTATTTATTAACTTTATTTGTACCCCGCTACCATCTCCCCAAGGGACTCAGTGCGGCTTACATGAGGCCGAGCCCAAACACAACAATAGAAGCAATAAAACATCAATACAAGCCATTAAAAACATAGACAATAAAATACACAACATTATCAAAAAATAAATAAAAGCAACAATAAAATGTTCAAAATGAAGTATATGCAGAATAGCTCTAGAGAATTTGCATTAGCATGCACCATTGAATAAAAATGTGTGCTGTTATCTGATAATAATACATAACTATTTCTGTTAATGATTCAGGAATATTCCAATGAAAGGCTAAAGAAAACAAATGAACTGCTTCGAGGCATAAAACTTCTTAAACTCTATGCCTGGGAGCACATCTTTCATGGCAGTGTGGAAGAAACACGACAAAAGGAAATGACCAGCCTCAGGGCTTTTGCTCTCTATACCTCCATATCAAGTACGTAATAATCTTATTTTTATTTCATTTTATATGGATTTTCAGTAAGCCATGCTTTCAGATGGTATCAGTATTGGGAATAGGAAATGGGTAGTTTCCAAGGGCCCTTCCACACAGCCCTATATCCCAGAATATAAAGACAGAAAATCCCACATTATCTGAGTGTGAACTCAGATAACCCAGTTCAAAGTAGTTATTGTGGGATATTCTGCCTTGATATTTTGGGATATAGGGCTGTGTGGAAGGGCCCCAAGTCAAGGGAATTAATAGTGTGGTGTGTTTTTAATTTTAATCTAGTTTATTTTTATTTATTTATTTTGGAATTGTATGTGTTTTAAGGCATTGAATAATTGCCTCTGTGTCAGCCACCTTGAGTCCCCTTCAGGGTAGAGAAAGGCAGGGTATAAATAGAGTAAATAAATAATAAATAAATAATTCCCATATAGTCTATGAAGGTCAGACCCCATCTAAAAGTACTGTGTCCAGTTCTGGGTACGTCATTTTAAGAAGAATATAGACAAGTGGGAATGAGTTCAGAGAAGAACAGTGAAGGTGATGAGAGAACAAAATATATGAGTGAAGGTTAAAAGAGTTGGGCATGTTCAGCATGGTGAAGAGAAGGCAGAGTGGTGACATGATCACACTCTTTGAATACCTCAAGGGCTGCCACAAAGGGTGGGGGGGGGGGGTTACGCTGCTGCCTCAGAAGATAGCTCTGGATGTAGTGTTTTTTAGGTTTCGATTGAACACTAGAAGTAACGTTTTAACAGTTCCTGTTGTGCTTTTCAAGTATCGTGACCACTTGCTAAGTAGGAGAATCTGAAGTGGGGCGAGGAGGGATAATTAAGCCAGGCAACACCCACCATAAAGCTAATAACATTTTCTGGAAATATACTGTGTCTACTTTATGAAGGATGTTTATTTTATGCAGTACTGTACAATTAAACTCAGAAGTTAATCCCGCTGAATTGAAAAGGGCATGAATTCCCAGGTAAATAAATACTGTAAATAAATAAATACTGTTTAAGATACAAGATAGACAGGTCTAATAAAAGTTATGTAAATTTAGGGTAACTTTTCAGCTAAAATTGGTTTCGTGAATTTATTTTATTATTGTGAACTCCATGGAAATGTCTGTTGAAATAAAGCATGAGTTTCAAGAACACTGTGACAAACACAAGTTTTTAAACAAATTATTTCAACTTCAGTTATTTGAAAATCGCTTATGTGTACATTGAGACTTTATTCTGAAACAAAGGGCACTTCTACACAGGCATATAACCCAGAATATCAAGGCAGATAATACACAATATCTGCTTTGAACTGGGTTATCTGAGTCCACACTGCCATATGATCCAGTTCAATGTGGATATTGTGGAAGGGTGTGTTGAAAGGCCTCAGTCCCATCACCATCATAGGCTCACTTGGTGGGGACACAAGACAGAGCCTTCTCAGCAGCTGTTCCCACTTTCTAAAACCTCCTAGGCTATTATTAATTATTATTATTATTAAACTTTATTTGTACCCCGCTAGCATCTCCCGAAGGACTCGATGCGGCTTACAAAGGCCAAGGCTAGGCTGGCCCCCTTCCTGCTTTCCTTTCATCAGCAGGCAAATACCTTTTTGCTTAAGCAAGCTTCTAATATTTAAGAAGGAAGGCTTTTCTTGGGATGTGTGCTTTATTTATGTTTTAACATTTGTATGTTTGATCAATGATTGTATACTTTTAAGAGAGTTTTCATTGTTTTGTTTTGTTTTTACTTTTTATTATTAAAGTTTCTTTATTGATTCTCTTTAGGAGCCACCTTTGTTCCTATTCAGGGAAATAGGTGCCACACCAGTCAAATAAATAAATACATTTATGTATAATTATAAAAAGCAATTTCTGTGAAAAGCATGGAGCTTAAGCAATCCAACTGCTATTAATGTGTGATCTTGGCAGCAAGTAGGAAAATAGCAGCAGGCAATTCCGCTTTCCTATCCCTTTTCTTTTTAGATCAGAACAAAGTTTAAACACTTAGAAACAGTACATGCATATGGTCTTCTTTGTAATAAGGGCCTTAAATTGTGAAGGAGAGATGCATTATTTATAGGATGCAAAATTTTCAATCACATAACAACATGAAGTCATTGACCTTCTTGTCATTGAGTTGTAAAGACACTTCCTGAAGCCTTAAGCATCTAATTTATTGGCATCTAAATTGGGAAAATCACTGGAGAAAATGTGGTTTTGTGTTATTCCAGAAGCTGATAAAATACAGACTATATGTATGCATTTGCCTTCCTTTCAAATGTATATGTAGAGTGGTAGACATAATTTTTGTTTCACTTATAAATGCACTTGAATTGTAAATGTTGATGTACAAGTTATAGCAGCTTCACATTTAGGACTTCATCATATTGAGCCAGAGAAGCCAGAGCACAGAGGGGGAATCATGGGGCAGCATCAGGCTGTGTTCCCTACTCCTTGTGGGTCAACAGCGGCCATGGTATCTCTTCCCTCAACATTTCCCTGCTGCCTACTGCTTCCTCTTCACCTCCTCCAGCTTTCTTGAATGAGGAATCGGATGTACACCCAACTCCTCTTTCTCTGCACTGCCAGCACAGAGTCCCAGAGAGCCCTGCTGGAAGTAGCCCTGCATCATGTGATGGACTCTGGAAGACTCTGTGCCAGCAGTATGCCGGCAATGCAGAGAAGTGAGGAGATTCACTTCTAGGCCTCAATGTCATGAGGTCCTGAGTGTATGTGTCATCGTGATCACCTTTTCATGTGGCAACCCTCAAGAAACTCACAGTAAAACAAAATTGCTCAATGGCAAGAGTTTAAAAATGCAGAAATTAAAAGATGCAGAAAGATTGTATTGCAAAATAGCAAATATGATGGTAGAACTTTGTAATATCAAACCATTAGAATCATGCAGATAACTAGTTGTGGATGGTTACCAGCACTGGCAGGGAACTGACATGCTTTGTCCCTGCAATGCTGCTAGAGTTGACCATATGGCAGGGCTGCTGGATGCTTGGTACCCGAGCGTGATATTCTACACAGGTCCTGAAAAAGTATCTGGTCACCTAGTGGTGAAGGCAACCAAGGAGGGAGACTGACCGGCCAAGGGAGGATCCTAAAGAGATGCAGCTTGAAATATTTTGATTACATAGTAGGGAGCTTGTTAGAGTGTTCAATAATAGGATTTCCATAATATATTTTTAAACTTTGTTTTGAAAAGAGGCATGATTTGAAAGAAAGCAATTTAGTAATCTTTCTGATAAACATAGAATTAGAAATGCTTTCTCTCTGATTATAAACCTGTTGAGGCCCAGTGCCCCCAAACCCCTGTATCTCTATTCCAATCAGACACTAGAGACGAGGAGATTAAATCAACAGCTTTAATTTACAGAGCAAAGCCATCTGGTAACTGAAAGAAATTTGCCATTAGGCTAAGATGCTACTTGGCCCTTTTTATAGTCAGAACTTTTTGAGCATGCACAAATTTCAGTCCTTTTGTTCTTTCTTACCAGCAGCTTATGCTTATGTGCATTCCTTTTCAGTAGCTTGCATTCCCCCGCCTCTCCCTCCCCCTTCCTGCTGAGCTGAGCTCTCATTTTTTTAATTCAAGGCCCTGTCTTTCTCTCTTCAGATCATGAAATCCTCCTCTAAACCCTACTTTCAGTCTTCTCAATTGCCTATCTAAAACTCTTGTTGTACTATTTTATCTAGCAAAGAGTTTCAGCTTTCTATTTCAAGTCCTCCAATACCTCCTTCCTCCTGTCTCAATCTTTCCTTTTTAACTTTTTCAAAACTTCATTCTTATAAAACTCACACTTACAAAAATCTCATTCTCTTCAAACTGAGCAAAAACACTCAAGCTGCCTGCTTTTTTAAAAAAGTCTACATATTCATTAGATTACTTGTGGAAGGGCGTTTATGGAAATCGGGGCCCTGACATCTATCTCATGCACCTGTCAAAATCCACATAACATAGTTAGCTTCTTTGGTGGAAATTCATTATTCATTGGCAAGTGTTGATGCGGTAGATTTATTCCCAGTTTAACAGTCTGGGTACACAGGAGCATTGCACATAATGTAGTAAGTAAGTAATTGATTTTGAGGATGTGAAAATGTAGTGACATTTTGAGATAAATGTGTTTCTTGTCCATAAGGTATTTTCTTACCACAAAACAAATGGATTTTTCTCTTAAGAAAAATATTTTGAATGTTCCTTCTTACTTGAGAGTAAGTCCAGCTAATGCAAATTCCTATATATACATATAAACAAACACTGGACTGGTTGGCATAACATTTAGATTACTTATCCCCACCAAAAACAAAGGGAAGCAGATGGATTCCTACAACAATGCATGAACTAAAATATAATATTTTTCCATTACTAGAATCATTTTGTTTTATTTTTTGCCTTTATGAGGGATACAGTTTCAGGAATATGTTAAATCTGCTTTCATAAAATTAATCCAACAATTGTAGGCAAGCCACATTTGCACAGCACCAGGTACAGTTAATAATAAATTCTGTCCAAATTTGCATTCTCATGATTCCTCCTGTCTATTTAGCACCAATAACAAAATGGGTACTATCCAAATCACAGAAATTACATAGCTATTTCTATTGTGTCTGGGAACATTTTTAACACTATCTTAACATTTTCAATACATGAACCTTTACATTTTGGGGAGGGTTAACTCAGGCCACATCTACACTGGCCACTAAATCTGGAGCAAGAGATGGCCAGACACACCTGGATGAACCCACTGCAGCACCATGTTAGTGTCCATGTGGTTCAGCTGAGTCAAGACCACATCAGCCGTGATGGATCATCACCCCATCTTCCATTTTGCTGTTGTCACTCCCAGTCATCCAGGGAGCTCCAGCTGAGCTCCTGGCTATTGTGAGTGTTCTGTTTGGACAACTTGAGAGGCACTTTCACAACCAGCAAAAAGAAAAGGAACAAATCATCCTCTTTCCCTGTGCTGATGAATTTGGGGAAAGGGTGATGGCACCAGTGTCCATTCTGGAGAGTGGATCAGCTCAGATTGCACCCAGTCTAATTGTCCAGACTGCCCTGAAAACATGGATTTCCCCACCAAACTCAGGAGTATTGCCTGACTTTGCTTTATTTTAATCTTGAAAATTCGACTTAACCTTAAAAATTCATGATACTTACCAGAAGTCCACAAATGTGGGAATCGCTAGAAATGAATTTGAGACGAGTCTTTATGAATGTGTGAAAGAATTCATCAGACTTTCAGAGTCACTGTACGCAACTATATATTGCCTGTTCATTGTATCATATGTATACACACACTGATTATAATGCATATATCATATGATTCAATTTCACATGTCCATATCAGCCCATAATTTTAAACCTTCCACCGGAAAGTCATCAGGAAAGTCAGTTGAAGGACTCTTTGTATCTGGACTATCTGCACAAATAATTATGATTGTTATAATGAATATGATGGTAATATATTCTAGAACCAGGATTTTATTAAATAAGACTAATCCGTTTTTATATATCAGATTCAATTTCAAAGCCTTTATTATATTTTGCAAATATAGTCTTTCCTTCATCTAAAAATTGTATTAAATGTTAATAAATCTCAGAGAGCACGTATGAGTTTTATGCTGCTAAGTCACTGTATATCAGCCAAATCTGTGTATTACTCAGCTGAGGAAACTGGACAGGACTAAGGAGAAAGGTCCTGGGAATGTTTCTGACATTTGGGCTGTGCTTGAGTCATTAACCTTGCTCTTTAGCACAAGAAAGCTGCTTATGTTTTCCCTAGTTCCTGTGAGACCTCATTTATCATGTTAAATGTTCAACATGAAAGAGGGCTCTTGAGATTATAATCCATTGACCAATGTCAACAAGTAGCCAGATTCACAAAACATAAGCAAATAAATATTCCAGTTCATTTGTGCATACACAGAGAACAGGAAATAAGAATGAGGTATTTTTCCTTTAATTTTTAATAAAGTTAATTTTGCTTTAACTGCAACACTTAAGAACATGTCTAAACAATGTGTGAATTGCCATTTAATACAATTTCTTAAATTAAATAGAAAAGGCATTTTAAGTGTTATTTGCCTGACAGTGCTGTGAGAAAAGGGCAAAACCTAACCCTGCATGCTTCCCCTATTGAAATGTCTCATGAAAAGACACATCCCTGGTGTCACCCCTTTGCTCTGTCCCATCCTTTACCCTTTCCAACCCAGGAAGCAAGTCATTTAGAGTATCTTCCTTTGGATGAGGAGACAAATACTCTTTCTCAAATTTCATATTCATGGGGTTGAGAAATTAAATTTGGAATGTGCTTAGCCAGTTTCCTCTATAGGGTAACCACAGTGTTGACTTGAGGTGATGGACAGGCCTTTGTCTTTCCCAACTCTCTGACTATTCATAATTCTTAGTTTGAAGCAAAGCTGTTTTCACTGTGATGGGGATCTTCAATCTAATGCATTGCCTCCAAACACCTAGTTTCTGTCCAAAGGTGAAAAAAGACTGAATTCAGAAATAGGCATAAGCTAATTCGACACCTTGAATGTTAGAAATTGAGGACCAAACTAGAATGTGAATCTAGATATGTTAGTAGGAACCCCATCTGATTGGAAAAAAAAAGATGTGGAAGCAATATTCGCTGTCATAATAGCACATGATTCTCCTAACTGCAGAAGTTATGCTTATTCAAATTTTCCTTTGTTAATATTATTCTTTCAGGTAAGATTTTCCACTGTGTTGTCGAAGGCTTTCATGGCTGGAATCACTGGGTTGTTGTAGGTTTTTTCGGGGTATATGGCCTCATTACCTCTGAGGGTGCTTGCCATAGATGCAGGTGAAACTTCAGGAGAGAATGCCTCCAGAACATGGACATATAGCCCAAAAAACCTACAACAACCCAAAAGTTTCCACTGATACCTATGGAGTTTTTTGTCCTTCCATTCTCTGCCCACCCGTCCCCATGTTAATAGCTGGGTGGGCATATCAGTATGCATATGGGGAGGAATAGTGATGACATGTGGCCAAAAATATTTAATCTTTCCCAACACACACATCTCATCTTTTTTAGCCCAGAATTATCACAGATAATTTGGCCCTCCAACTAGTTGTTACATATAGCTTTCAGAAGCCATTAAAAATGTTCTGAACCTGGTGTGCAATTCATCTTTTTTCATTTACCAGTACAGGCAGCTCCCAAGTAATGGACAAAATAGATTCTGTAGGTTTGTTCTTAAAATAAATTTGTATGTAAGTCGGAGCATGTACATTTTAAAGTGTAAATCCAATTGTGTGAGAGAGAGAGGAGGAGAGATTTGGATGGCATAGGGAAGGGCTAAAATTCCTGTGGTGTTTGTTTTTCTGTCTGTGTCCATGTTCAGAAGCTTTCTTTTCAATTTCTGTCCCCGTGATAATTGGATTTTGAAAAATGTGACTTGTTGTGGAAACCAGGATGGGTGAAAAAGCTTCAGTGGAAACCCTCTTTCCCCATAATTCTTCAAGGAGTGAATTTCCCTTCCTAAGGGTAGATTTCTCCCACTTCCTGTTGTCTCACCCCTGTTCTTAACTATGAGACAATTATAAGTCAGATGTTCGTATTTATTTATTTAGAGCTTTTATATCCCATCCTTCTCAACCCCCAAAGGGGGACTCGGGACGGCTTACAATTGGCAGTCATTAGATGTTGACAAAGAAACAGTTAGAGCACAACAATTAACACAAACAGGTCAACAGCAATAAAAAATACATTTAAAAAGCAACAAAGATACATTTAAGATATTGGCCCTTAAAATATTAACACAACCCGGGGACTGCCTGTATACAGATATATTTACCACTGCAAGTTTGAATATGGTGACACAATTATTTATTATGCTTGTGAGATAAGTATGTTCCATATATACTGCTAAATATAAAAGATCTTCAAGTATCTTTATGAGTAAACTTAAAGGAAGTATCAGAATATTTTGGCTTGATAAATGGCAGTATTTACTGTGGCCAATGTCTGGATATTTTCTTCAAAGTCAATATTCCCCAAATTAATGCTATTTATCCCTGCACATACTTATGCACATACATGCTGATCCATTTAGCTCAGCAGCTCTGCATCTAAAACCCTTTTTAGAGTCAATTCTGTTACATTCAGGGATCTTATCAACAGAGAATTAAAAATCTGCTGGCATATCTAGCTGGTGCAATGAGACTACAGGGTCAACCAAGTATAGTAAATGCAAAAAATATGTTCTGCTGTTAAGATAAATTTATTCAAACTAGTAAGAATTTTGGTAATGTGTCTGGATGAAAAATTTGTAACAGAGTGTTAATGGATATTAATGATAATTTGGAAATTAAATTTAGCCAAAATATATCTTTCTATGGATGGATGATAGTCCTTAAATTCTGCAGCGAGGAAGTCAATACAACACAATACCAGAAAGTCAATATTTTCAGGAAAACTCTATTTATTATTTTATTTCTATTATTTAATCATCAAATTATCCTACCTGAAAGGGGCAACCTCAAAACTGATGCAATGCCTTACTGAGCACGACCATAATTCAGTTGAGTAGCACACAAGAAGGAAAAAAAGGAGATCAACAAACATAGATATGAAAATGCATGCTTGGAGAGAGGCTTTGGAACAAATGATGTTGAAATAATCCGAAAAAAAATATTTGTTTTCTTGACAGTTTTCATGAATGCAGCAATACCTATTACAGCAGTTCTTATAGTAAGTATAAGCTTGTAGTTATATTTACCATTGTAGCAAGAAATACAGATGTCAATAGCCAATTGCTTTGAAGTCTTATGCCTGGTTTTGCTAATTTTAAATTAATTTGGATTGGATTCAAATCTCTGCTTAGTGGGGTTCAACTTGCACTAGAAGGGAGAAAGTAGAACAGCTATTTTTGTTTGCTGTCCCTGCTTTTTGTGTTTTTAATCTAATCTGTTCATAGCTGTATCATTTGCAGAATGTATCACCTTCGTCTCAACAGAGCCCTATACAGGGCTGTGTTTGTGTTCTTCTTTATCTAATTTTGATTTTTTTTAAAAAAAATCACCTGTAATTTTCCTATTTATAGCTGATGGATAAATAAAGCTCTCTAAAGGATGTCTGAAGTGCTTAGTTGTATAATATTCCCAGTTTATTAGATCTTTTCAGGTATCAAACCATATTCCAGTCGGCTGGTTGTCTGATATAATTTCTTTTGCTCTTTTAAAAAAGACATTTATCGTCCATGCCCATGTTTTTAAAAATGCTGACTTCACTCCTTCGGTGGCCTTTGCTTCACTCTCCCTCTTCCACATCCTTGTTACACCCCTGTTCCTGCTCTCCAGTGTGGTTAGGTCCACTGTCAAAGCTCTTGTAAGGTAAGATTCCTTGGGTGAAACACAAAATTAGAAGTGCTCTGTGTTAAATATGAAGCTCCTTGTGACAACCATTGCAAGATGATATAGTCTTATTTTGCCACTTGTAACACTTAAGCCTGCAATCAGTCACTCCGTGCTAACTTAGTTTATAGTTTCCATTGTGTTGCCACACATCCAGTATATCTAATTAGCATTCCCAAAATAATGTCAGTCAAGCTCATGCCTTAACTATTAGTTAAAATTTAAATTCTGTCTAACATGTGTAGAGAAGAGGAACTGTTTCAAGGCTGTAACAATCAAAAAATTTTTTTTATGATACAGGACGTTATAATGTAGCATAAGTGTATTATGGTATCATTGGTACTATTATATGGAGGCAAATATAATATAAAAGTTTGTGAACTGCAAAACATATAAGTTAGGAGACTTGATTTTTAGGCAAAATGCTATTTGAAAATGACATGCAGTACTTCTTAAGCTATCTGATGTGGCAGACCAGCCAGTGTTTTATTTATTCCCCAAGGTCAGCACCACCTTAGTGGCCATTCACTTTCTTTTCTGGAAAGCTATGCAAACAGGCAGCCAATAGCGCATAGACTGGCATCCGTTCACCGACTACCTCTTTGAGTAGCATTGACCTAATACTTAGTACTTGTATTTAAGACTCCTTTGTGGTATTTTTGAACTGCTATTAACTGACAGTGGGTGTGATTTATTTTAATTTACCACTATTTTCCTTTTTTTCACAGTGTTCAGAAATTGAGTGAATTTCTCTCAAGTGAAGAAATTGGAGAGGACCATGATAAATGTTCAGAAGCAAGATGCAAAGGCAACCATAGCAAATATCAAGCTGTCGTAAGTATTAATGCTGGATTGTATGTAAAATATGTAAAATATCTACCCCCTATTTTTATAATCTTTATGAATCACTCCAATAACTTTGTCAGTCCCCTTGCTAATAGTTAACAATGTTAAAAGACATTGATGTTCATGTCCATTTATTAAGGACTGTGTTTTGATAGGTTTCGTTTAGGTTCAGTGGTGAATAATGATTGCTGTTTGCAATCAAGGAGGAAACTCTGAAATGGTTAAGTGGCAGCAGTGGATTAAAAAGGGTAGATCCCTGTCATGTGTAATTATAGCAGTCAGATGCTACTTTAATTGTCATTACTCCCTCCTATAGAATTCAGGATTTGGTGATGTGGTAAAGAATTGTAACTTTCTCTCTGCTGGTGAGCTTATTTTCATCCCTCGCAGTAGAGCTCCTTATAGAGGATTCTCAGGGCAGTTCTACACAGACAATATAATCCAGTCGAAGCTGTCTCAAAGGCAGGGTGTCCACAAGATGTACGCCTCCAATGTGTGCTGCAGCCCCCCTCAAACCAGCAACAGCACATTTTAAAAACTCACTGGAAAGTCCAGAACAAGCCAAATAATGCACTGCAGCTAAATAAAGTATATACTATGGAGGACTTGAAACCAGAACTGGAAAATGCAGTCAGGATATCACTAGAACTGAAGCACTATTTAAAATGTGGAAACACAGCATACTTGATGGTAAACAATTACTCTCTTGGGAGAGGAAACGACATAATTCCTATGGGAACTCTTAATTTCATCCTCTTTGTTTTCTCTTTCTATGCTCTGCCAAGGTCCAGTGCTAATTCTGACTGGACATGGATATGTGCATCAGCACACCTCAGTGAACTGGTTAAGAAAAAACCTGCATTTTCCATAAGCTGTCTGGACATGAATACTGTGGTTCCTGGATTCAGTTCCAATCCACATTGGGGGACACTCTGGCTACCATCCCAACCTCTAATTGGTTCCTGGGGTGATTATGTAAGCACTCCACAGTGGAACTGGTTCAGTTAAGTCCACTTCCTAACTCAATTTTTGTGTCTGTGTAGAACTACCCTAAGAACCCAATCTCACCAAATCAGTATCAAACTGTTAGAATTCTGCAGTGTGACTGTGTCGTCACCTATGTATAAATATGAAGTTGCTGACTGGATAACATCCCTGTGAGTGGGTTGTCTATGGTAGCAGGTTTTCCTGACAGTTGGCAAGCTCTTGTTTGCAATGCCCTAAGATTATGCCCACCACCACTCTGCTGCCTGCAGTGCTGCTTCTCAGCTATTTCTAATAGGGCTGGGTTTTCCTACTATTTTAGTTGCTCTTTAGTAGCAGTGAGCGATCTCTGCCAGAAAAACCTATTCATTCCCCATAGCCAAATAATACTCTTTCACACTCCACTTATCATCTATTTCTTTCTTCTCGGTTCTGCACAGCCCCTCAAAGTTGTTAACCGTAAGAGGCCTACCAGAGAGGACTGGAACAATTACAGCTCTCCCATTAGAAGACCTGTTAAAGTCACAGAAGCAGATGATTATTGTGTAAAGGTGATAATAAGGTCACTCTTTCTCATAACATTGTTATTAATAAACTTGGGATTCCAGAGTTGCAGTCCTGGGTTGAAAAAGCAAATAATATATAGAACCTGAAATGTGTATTTGGATTGCAAAATATTTGCCAAAAGGGTCATTTCTCATTGAAATATTTTGGATCATTCACTGGTTTTTAAAGATGAAAGGAATCAGTTTGGTAGTGTAGTTATTGGATACCATGGCAAGTCTTAGTGAAAAGACATAACTCACTGTCCCATACACACAGATGGAGCTTTGTTTGGAGACTTACTTTGTGCTAGGGTTTATTGTTGAGATCTAATTTCTTCCAGACAGAAAAAATATTTGTTTTTTCCCAAATACTGAGTGAATCCTCCTGTCTTAGAAATTAGAAAGAAAAGCTACCAAGAAAGAGAGTAATATTTCCTAAAATCAATCACTTTTTCTAGAAATTAAGAAATCGGTATTCTTTGCTTGATTGATCCAGGAAACAAGCAGAACTGAGATTTCATTCCCCACCTCACGTACTAACCTCCATTCCTGTGATCCGCCATGTATGTTCCTCAAAGAGCGTGTGACTCTCTGAAATTCTTTCCCCCATCAGTCTGTGGGGACAGTTGCCCCCTAAATGTTTTATCTGAATTTGAATTTTGTCATTGAGTATAAATGAAGAACTATTTTAAGTTCATTTTTAGTCTTTCCTGAAGTTATATAAGCCTGGAATTACACATCTATAACTGATTTCTAGTTACAATCTCTATGTAGTTTCAATTACGGCACTGTTGCAATGATCATAACTACCCCCCCCCCCCAAACCTCTCGGCCACATTGAGAGGAAATTTGCTAGTAATTGGGGCATGGATGTGTTTCTACTCAAAACAGTCAGATTTGTTCCTGCTCAGTGAAACAATAGCCAAAGATTACACCAAGGCTTTTGTTAGACAGTCTGCAGAAGGGGGCCAAATGAGGAGGCAATCCTGGAAAGACTAGTTAGCTAAAAATTGATGAGTTGATGAACAATGCTCAGTCAGCAGCTGGCTACAATTCTGCAACTGGGAGAAGAGAACTAACATCACTCTCCCAGATTTGCAACCAGTCTTTGGAGCCCAGGAAAGACAACTATCTCCCATTTGTAGAGCTGTAGTGGGTACTCTCTGAGGGCCTCCAACTGTCTGCCTTCCCAATAAATGCCTATAGTAAGACACTCCAATTCACAGAAGCTAATTTTGGAGGTGGAAGCTGAACAGTATAGATAGAATGATGAAAGATCTTGACCATATTGTTAGGCACAAACTGCACTATGCTGATGCAACAGACAAAATATCCAGTCTGCCATGCACTGCAGATTGCTCCCTGCATCCTACATTCCAGTCTTTTTGTAGAAATTGTTAACAGTCTGCATCTGGGTGCAGAAAGACCATAGACTCATGTCTTGAACTCAAATGTGTGTCTGGAGAATTAACAAAGCTTAATTGTTTATAGTGACCCTGTGTGCTGTTTCCTTTGGCTTGCTGGAAGTAGAAAGTGGGGTGGCGGATTATATCAGCATAGCAAATATGTGGATTATGTGACAAGTGTGTGGACTGAATTGTGTGTTTTTAAAAAAATTATCCACAGAATTTGTATAAACTTTTAACATCCCACAGAATATCCGAATATGATATTTGTGTGAAAGCACAGAATTACAATACCATGTTAAGCTAAGTAAGAAAGAAAGAAAGACTAAGTAATCAAATATATCTAGAACTAAAATGTTTAGTAAAATGCATATAGGTATTTAAAATAAAAATGTGAGGGAATTTTAGTAACAATAAAAAAATTCTTTTCTATTGATGTTGCTGCCGTAGGTCACAAATGGATTTTTCACTTGGACACCTGAAGGAGTTTCAACCTTGTCCAGTATTGATATTCGAATTCCTCAAGGTACTGATCCATCCAATCATAACAATAATCATATTAATAATATACACATTTTAAAAATACCTCTGAGCAAAAAGAATAGGTGTATAGGTGGCATCTTATACACAAGTTGGCATGTGCCCTTATCCATCCCTACACAACCCTACAGTGTTATTTGGGAAGTAGCTTCCAGCCCATGTTTCCAACATATGTGGTGAAAAATGCATAGACTTAACAGTTGCCTAAAGCTCTCTGGCTTGCTGCCTGTGTCTTCAGTAAGTAAAAATGTCTTATGAAATTATGTTTATTATTGTAGGTCAGTTGACAATGATTGTGGGCCAAGTGGGCTGTGGTAAATCATCGCTCTTGCTAGGAATACTTGGAGAGATGCAAAAGGTGTCAGGAAATGTAACATGGAATAGGTAATGTTATTTATACTTTATATTATTGATTAATTAAATATTGATGAATTCATTACTGTGAAATTACAAGGGAAGAGTAAACTTGCATCAGTGCCATGTTTTATTGTGTATATTTTAACTCTGTTTGACTGGACTTGGTCCCCATGTAAGTTGCCTAGGGAGATGGCGGTTGGATACAAAAATAAAGTAGTAGTAGTAGTAGTAGTAGTAGTAGGTGCATGGGAATTTGTTTATGGATGCAGTAAATGTTGAACTGCATATGTACAGTGTATTTATAATTATATTGGCTTTCTTTGTTTAACTCTTTCATCTACAGAGCAACAAATATGCCTAGAAAATAGATATAAATATTGTATTTAGTTTCTTGAATGAAAGTATCTGTAAGCTGTACTGATTTAGTGCAAACATGCTAGTGTTGATTTAAGAATCTATTACAGTGTCCAGGAAGTGCATGCAAAGACAGCAGCATTGTGTTGATGCTTAACATTCTCTTTGCTAACTTTGTTCTAATACGATGCCAAGGTCACTTGAGTTACTTGCACAGTATGCATCACACTGCTTTACAGATTATCAACATTACAACTTCTGTTGGACCATCTATTAGCTGGAGGACATGCTGACTAGGGCACGTTGTTTCTATTTTTACTTTAAAGCATGTGCTAGTTATCCAAATTTGATCTGACCAGTTAAACTGAGCAAATGAATATTTCCACCCATATTATATTCCCCATCTAAATTATCCCAGGCACACTTGTGTTCACAGCATAGCTAAGGGAACAGATGACTATAGGTATGTTTTGTTTGTGCAAGCAGTCTGCCTTTCTTTTGGCTTCAGTATTACTGCTCAGGTCCAGCTGGCCAGTTGGGATGATAGTTGCTCTAAAGCAGGGATAGATACCCTGTTGGCCTCCAGATAATTCTGGACTGCATCTCCCCCATGAATGGCTAGAACTGATAGGAGTTGTAATCCAACACATTGTGGGGGGGGGGGTGGCACACAGAGTCTCCAGTCTGTTTCAGAACCACTTCAGACTGCACAAATACTTTACGTATTTGTTGCATATGTCAGGAATTCTCTAACTTGGCTAACACCAGATAAATGGCACATGCTACAAAATGTGCCCATCAATAGATGTTTTGCAAATTTCTAATAATAATCGCTTGGCTTTGTAATTCAAGTTTATGAACATGTGCAAATCATAAAACATTATAATGAAGTTTTGAAGTGAATATTTAGGAATGTCAGTATCAGAAATTGTATTGGTTTTTAAAAATAATGGCGGGGGGATTAAGGTATGGACCATATTGATATGAAATGTCTCTTCTTTTTAACAGTTTACAATTAGTAAGCCATTATTGCCTAATAGAAAACCAAGTTCTCACAATCGGAAGAAATAATTGTTGGAAGGTATAGGGCAATGATAAATTGAGGAGTTGAAAAGGGAGCTGATATGTTTAAAGTTAATATCAGGCATAAGTTAATTTAAAGTTAATATCAGGCATAAGGGCTAGGAACATATATCTGTGTGTAGATCTTTGTGGTCTATTTCCTGTTTAAAATACATAGAAATATGGCCTTAGGGTGTGTTTCGCTGTCACACCTAATTCTGCAAAATTAGGTGCTAAGTATTCAAGTATTCAATTTAAATTTTATATCAGCTATCTAATTTACCTTTTCATTTTTAGTGATGGATATACTATTAGCTTTCTCAACCTGCTGTTTTTGTCATGCAGTTTTGAGAAACTGCAAGTCGCTTCTAGTGTGAGAGAATTGGCCGTCTGCAAGGATGTTGCCCAGGGGACGCCAGGATGATTTTGATGTTTTTATCATCCTTGTGGGAGGCTTCTCTCATTCCCCGCATGAGGAGCTGGAGTTGATAGAGGGCGCTCATCCGCCTCTCCCCGGATTCAAACCTGCAACCTGTCAGTCTTCAGTCCTGCCGGCACAGGGTTTTAACCCACTGCGCCACCGGGAACTCCTGCTGATATACTGTGTATCAAGTCTTATCAGGATTGTGCATGTCTCCGCAACCTGATTTTTTTAAATGGGTGACAATCCTTTAGTCTGCTTTTAAATATTTTTATTGCTAGAACACTGGAAAATATGTGAAGAATTAATTCAGCCATATGGAAAATATTTATCAATAACTGTCAATGGTCCTGTGTACAAACTGTTCATGCTTACTTACATTAACAAAGGATTTTTTTGTTTTTGTTTTTTGTTGATATTGTAGCAATATTCCTGACAATGAGACAGGGGAAGATAGCAGGTACAGTACTACATAAAAATGTTGTGTTGTTCATCAGTTTTGTATCCTCTAACAGTTCCTGATTGCCAGACATGCTCCCGATTAATACTCTCTCATTTCATTTTTTCTATTGTTTTTCCTAGTTTCTCTCCCTCTGTTGTTTTTTCCCTTTGTTCCCTTCATTTGAACTGTTACAAACGTAATTCAAAATACAAATGTAGTTTTCACTCAATTAACTCAGGGAGAGAAGAGGGTGGGTAAAGAGTTGCCCTTTCCAGTAGACTCAGGCAAAAGCAAACTGCTGAAACTTCTTGCTCTTGTGCTTTTCCTCACTACTACCTCTTGCAGTCTTTACCACACTCAAATGTTCTTTGGCCACATGTGTCTGGTTTTCATCTGTGAAATGTTGAAAGATATGAATACTTTCTATAACTATTGAATTATACAGAAACTTAAAAGAGTCCTCCTGTCAACAAAAAGAAATACACTGTTTTCAGATATTAAAATAAAAGGCAGTTATATTTTTTGTAGCATCAAAATTCTGGATTTTGACTTTATTACAATCTACTCATGTCATGACATAGTCATCATTCCAACGCAATGAATGAAACCAGGAATATTACTTTGAGAAGACTTTTATGTTGGTTGGAAATGTTGAGGGTTGTAGGAGCAAAGAGAAAACATGAAACAACAAATGGAATATATTACTATTGTTTTTATTTAGTAATGACGTGAAAAATCTGTTTACCATACTTCAGCAAACTTCCATTTGCTGTGAGATACAAGTATTTTATGAAACAATAGCCATGTTGCTTTGTTTTGTTTACTTTAATAATAAATTAAAAAGAAGAAATGAGTTAACGTGACTATCTTTTTAGCCCAACAAACAAAATACAAAGATTTGTGTTGATAAAACTTCACAGGTTCATGCTGTTTGGGTTTTTTTTCTTGAGAATGCCCATGTGCAATGAACCACATCTCATATTTTGTTGTATGATTTTTTTTGTATTTTTAAAATGGACTGCTTTCTTTGTCTTATAAGGACTTGAGGCAGTGTACAATTCACGTCAAATGTTAAATGCCTCAACTCATCATACAAGTACTGGGAGAAAAACAACAAAAAATAACACAGTTAAAAAGACTGTAAAAATAGAGGCCACCATTAAAATTGTGGCCCTTCAGGCAGTTTTCAGAAGTTTGTCAGTAGTGGCACATCAGCTGTTGAACTCTCTCCTAGTAGATATCTAATAAGATAACTTACTAAAGCATAGGTGAATGTTGATTAGAAAATCTAATGAATCCAGCCATGTCAGTGAGAAAAAACTAGCTCACTAGTTATTTCCAATATCACAATTATTGTGATATGGCCTAAGGGCTAATCAATAAAATTACTACTTTCCAATATCTGTGGAGTCCAACTGATAGTGAATATGACCTACCTAGCCCTGTAATGAAGATAGTCTACTCAGTTCTCAGGCCAGCCAAGGCTTGAAGGTGTGCCGAAATGAAACAAGACTTGGAGAAGACAAAACTGGACAATGACGTGATAGGTATCTTTAATACATGAAGAAAATAGAATCTTCTTGTTTTCTACTATTCTTGAGATTAGAACATGAACCAATGGATTCAAACATAAGAAAAGAAATTATACCTACCTTAGGGACTTTTTTTACTGTAAGATCTTTTCAGTAGTGGAATAGACTGCTTCAAAGAGTGTCTAGAAATGTTTTGGCCAGATCCGTTTGTAAAAATGTTCTGCCTCCTTCTCTTCCCCCTTTTTGGAGCAATTGTTGCAAATAAATGGTCAAAAAGAAAATTGTGCTCCAAATGTGAAAGTGGCAAAGAGAAATAACTACCAAATTATGCCTATATCAATTTAAGCTGCTCATTGATACAAATGTGTCATAGAATTGATGTTGATTTCAGATATATTTGTGAACCAGTACATTTATGTCCATGATTATTTATTCTCCTGAGTTTCAGATTCAAGTTCCCTCTAAATATTTGTAAAAAAAATATTATAATATTTTATTGTATGATTTTTGTGCAGCCCAGAGAGGGAAATGGCTGTTGACTTGGAAACCAGGTACTTCATTTTAATATGACCTAGAAATAATTCATAGATATCTGTAAATGTGGTGTTCTCATTCTGCCACACAGAAAATCAGGTCCTTTGGGGGTTGTTTGTTTTTTTAAGTGTTATTTAGTAAACAACTAAGAAGGCATATTAATTGAGTTGAAGACAAGAATGTGTTAGTTAGGGCTGGGGGGAGAACACAGTTCAGTACCCTGGAGAGCCACTGTCATTGGTTTTATGTTGTCCTTTTTACCCATTAACAATACTGGGCTGACTGGGCGAATACTTCTGGCTCAGTATAAATCACCCTTCTATGTTCCAAAACTTGTTTGTTTGTTATCAGGGCTACTCTTAGAGCTGTGCCATGTGGAGAACGGCAGGCACCTGACCTGCATGGCAGTCCATATCAAGATCATCAATATCCAATGTTTGGTTTTTATGACATGACCTGCTGAGATAATGCAGAAGCATACTCAGTGCTCTCTGCTGATATTAGCATTTTATTTTAAAAATAGCGGATTATATCTTTGCCTAAAATTACAAGCTCTGAAACTCTTAAGGGATCAGCCATCATGGAATTAGACAGGTTGTGCAACGGAGAAATGGCCAATGAAACTAAGCAAAGATGCATGGTCCAAATAACAAATGTTTTAACACTAGAGTGACACCCCCAATTAAGATGTAAAATATTGTCCAGACAACTAAAGCTATCTGAAACACCATCAGAAAAAGATATCATCTTAAACTTGTAATATGTTGTTCAATAAAACCTATGGGTGTTTTCTTATCCCTATGAATCCATGTCACAGAAAGCCCAAAAGTTATATGATCATCATGATTCAGTTTTGGCCAGATCCGTTTGTACAAATGTAAATTATTTGTAATAGGAAACAACTTCAAGCTCTTTCCAGAAAAGCAAGTTTTTCAAAATCAATGAGGCCTGATAGAACCCTTCCAGGGATGTCAAACTTTTTCAGCTATGCCATCCTTCATATTTAATTGATATGATAATTTATTATATGACTCCACTTACTAACCCATGTTTGCCATAATAAATATTGTCATAATAAATATTGTTCATAGGAAGAATTTTTGCAATTGCACTTCAAGACTAGAATCCTGTTGTTGTTATTAGGCTGCATAGCCTCCAATGATACCTTTATTTATATTTCGGAGGACATTGCTGGTGGGAGCATCCTCTTCCTTCCTGTGCAACAGCCTGTGCTTTGGGTCTGCAACAGTATCTGAGAGGGCTTTTGGTCAAAGTGCCATGTTCTTGCCCACCAATTGGCTTCATTATTCTTGCATTCTGCTAGTATGCTTTTCAAATCTCGGGCTTTTGCTCCAATATCAAAAACAAAATTACTGCAGACTGTCCTGGTTGGAACCTTGAGAGGCAATAAATGTTACCAATGTTTTCTCTGTATGAGAGAGATATGTGACAGAACATAAATACACATGTAAAAGGAGACATTCAATGAATGCATTAGTGGAAAATAATCACTGTCTGTTTAAATAAATATTAAACATGATAAACCAGAGCCCTGTTCTCTCACTCACTCTGTCTCTGTATGTATGTCTACATTTGTGTGTGTGTGTGTGTGTGTTATCCAGGAAAAGAGGATCAGTGGCATATGCTTCCCAGAAACCATGGTTGCTAAATGCTACTGTGGAAGAGAACATTACATTTGAAAGCCCCTTCAATAAACAAAGGTAATGTATTTGAGTTGCACATAATAGTCATTCTGTCTTACCACCTATTTAGTGATTTTTTTCAGAACTGTCAACACTGCTTTCCTGGTTACATGGCCCAGTTATTGAATTTTTATGTCAGAGGCAATTGTCTTGGGATGGAAAATTATTTGAAGCATTGAATCACACTGATCATACACCAGTCTTTTTTTGAAAGCTGTGTATTAACATCTCCTGTACTTCACCTTTCGAAGTGCTTGTTTAACACAACACAAAAAAAGCCATTTGGAAGCTACAATGCTTCCATGTGGCATAGAGCATGTGAATCAAGACTGGAGTGACCACAACTAGAGCAAAAATTTGCTTTCATGTTTCAAACTAAAATGTTGAAAAAAATGTTATAAATTCAAATATTACAATATTGATTCAGGAGTGGGCAAAGCTCCATCTTCTTGCCCACCAAGAAGATGGAGCAGAGAGGAAGGGCAATTAGTCTTCCCCATGCCTTTCCAACATGCCTCACCTACACAATTTGGCATTCCAGATGTGTAGTAAAAGCTTTTCCACCCACCATTTGGAAGTAAAAGGACTTCCACCCCTGATTCTTGGCTGTTTGGGGGGGGGGGGGGTTGGACCAGCAAAGACCCCGGGAGAGCAAAGGAAACAAACTTTTTGAGTGCAGTTTGGAGTAAACTTAGCCAGTTTGGGGGTGGAAATAATCCAAAACCTTGTTTTAATTTTCAGAATATCTGTGGGATTCGGGGCCCACAGTCTGTAAGATTACATGTACCTTTGATTGTATCTTGCATGCTAGTTTTTATGTTCTCCTTTTCTTATATCGCTCTTCTTCACTGGGAAAAAGAAAGATATACATCTGGCATTAGCAACTTGTGTTATGTTCCATATGATCAGTTCAGCCCGTGTAAATAAAGCCATAATGAAAAAGCTTTAAAAAGTTAATGGTATGATAGAATTGTAGTTTATTGTTTGTTTAGTTCTTTATTCAGATTTGTTACCAGCCACATCCTGCATTGCTTTCCCATTTATAGTGTATAATAATCTGCTTTTACCAACACAAATAATAATTAGGATGCACTATTCTTGATGCAGAGCATAAATATGATTCTAGATTCAAATCTTTGCAGTGTCACCTGATCCTACAATGCTGTCATAGTATTAAACATATAAAATATACTGTTCAAGTCAGTTTCTTAAATATGGCAGTGGATGACTTGAAGATGTGTGTTGGGTGTCCTAAGGATAATTTAAGCCCAGCAACAAAACCAGGGAATAGTTCATCTATTTTTAACCTTGGAATGCCCTATAGTGCATTATTAGCTAAAACAACATTTATTTACCTGGAACAGGCAGAGTTCCCATTAGAACAATTAGTGCTCAGTAAACATGCTTTTTCCAGCGTGTGACTTCTCCAGCTGATTACTCTCACTCTTAAAAGCAAGTAAAAAGTGCTTGTAAGGCAGTATCTATGTGGATTGATAATTACCCATTCTGTTTCCACAGGTACAATGCAGTAATTGATGCCTGCTCTCTTCAGCCTGATATTGACATACTACCTCATGGAGACCAAACTCAGATTGGAGAGAGGGTTCGTAATCATACTCAGGATACAAATACATTAATTAAACATCCTGATTTGTCATGTGTTCTTAAAAATCAGACTGTTATTTGGGGAAACCAGTGTGTAGAGCAAATACACTTTCAGGTCATTAGTTTGAAAGCTTTACACTTATGTCAACGTTGTTGCAGGTTTAGCTAACAAAACATTTCTTTTAAGTTGCACTCAATAATATACCTGATGTCACATAAATGCCATCTCTGGGATTTATCTATACTGAATAAAATAGGTTTTTAATATTTTCTAGACTGCATTAAATGATATTATAAAACACTCCAAGTTTTCATGAACTACTAAAATTCTCTTTTAACATCACACAATTTATTTTTTTATCCTGCTGTGACTAAATGGTATCTATTGATTTTATGTGCAGAATTAGGTTTAAGTTGGAAATAATGTCGAAGTGAGTGTAAAATGCACAATTGTCATTGTGTGGAGGGCCAACACCTTCACGCACGCACAAATTAGCTACATAATGTGAAGGAGTGTGAAATCTTATCTGCACTGGAAATCCACTTCACTGGTTCTTTAAATCTTTATTATTAGATAAATAAAATTTCAGTTTCTGACAATGTATGTTTTAAGGAAAGGAGTAACCTACACTCTGACTTAACCTCATGGGTCTCTTTTGTGCGCCTTTCACATCTCCAGATCCCTTGGGTTAAGAAAAGGAAGGAGTGAAGGAAAAGGAAACAAAGTAAAATGTCTCTCTCCTGGAACCACCTAAAAGTATCCCCAGTGTCTGTTTTAGAAATGAGAGGTGGATTTCCAGTCACTTACAGGGGTTTGGGTGGTGGTTTTTTGCAGAGGGCATTTTTGGCAGTCCTCATGGCCCCTAAAAATTTGCATGGGCACATAATTGGCTCACAGACTGACCACAATTGCCAACCTATATTTTGAGGAGTAGCATGAGCATCTGTGGCTGGTATTGTGTGTCGTTACTTCATTCCAGTGTATGGCAATGCTAAAGCAATTCTTGGCAAGATTTCTACAATAAATGCTTGCTTTTTCCTTCCTTTGATGCTTAGTGTGTCTTGCCCTAAGCCACCCAATGGATTTCCATTGCTAAACAGAGATTCAGACTCTGGCCTCCCAGAATTCAGGCCCAACATTCAGTTCGCATATCATCAAAAGCAGTGGGCTAATAGTCTGGACTTTGGCATTTTAAAATCAAGTTATATTCTTTCTTAGAGATATATTTTTCTTAGACATTAATGTAATTGACCAGCTCATTATCTACTGTAAAATGAAAATTAACATTGACATCAGGAGTTATTGTGAGGACTAACAGTATAATGAATGATAAATCATCTTTTTATACTTCCAAAGCATAAAGTAGCAGATGTTAGTAGACATTATTGAGATAGAGGATGAAAATGTTCCCTTGTTCCAATAGTTTTTGATACTTTTCTCTTTGCTTTATCCAAAAAATACATTGCTTTTAGATTAAACTCAACATGCTTTGTGAGAGTAAAATTTAGGCAACAGTGGCTCACAACTAACAATGTTGTTTTAACACTTACAGGGCATTAATCTGTCTGGAGGTCAGCGCCAGCGAATCAGTGTTGCAAGAGCTCTTTACCAACAGACAAATGTTGTGTTTCTGGTAAGCTGAGCATAACTAATAATATCACATTATAAATGAAACCTTGCAAAATTCATCATTTAAGAAGATCCTGTGCCTGACTAGATCTGTATCCAGGCATTTTTATATGCCTAGACTAGCAACTAATCTGATCTCAATCTACTTGTGCTAAAACATGTATAAACATACACAAACATCCAGGGGCTTATGGTGACTATATAACCAGCTTAGCCCTGGAAATGTGTTTTGAGAAAAGAAGGAAGCCTATCTACAGAATAATCCACAAAGGACCAGGAAATAGGTATAGAAATGGATTGATAAACCAAAAAGGCTCGCAAATAGTCAAGATTATTTGCTTATGAGAGTGAAGTATGAAGGATAAACCTAAGACTGCCATGGGACAAAACAGTGACATTAACCCAAGATATGTCATTCTACTATGGTTCATGTTTAGCATATTGGGACCATAAAATCTACAAATGAGCCCTGTGGTGCAATAAAATATATAGATCAGAAATGAGATAAGACAAGAGGTCAGCTAAGGGAGAAAGAAAATAAAGTTGTGATTTTACTATTCCTGGTCTATTTCATTCTCCAGCTGCTATAAGTTGTCATGGGCCAACCCACATTAATTAAGCAGTCATGAAGGGTTTGTATAACGTGTTTTTTGAGTCCTGTACAGCATTGCAGCCTGACAATATAATTGCAACATATGTTTCCAGTGTCCGTTATATGTCTGAAAGAGGCCGTGGCGGTTCAATGGGTTAAACCATTGAGCTGCTTAACTTGTTGAACTGAAGTTTGGCAGTTCGAATCCGTAGAACGGGATGAACTCCTGCTGTTAGCCCCATCTCCTGTCAACCTAGCAGTTCAAAAACATGCAAATGTGAGTAGATCAATAGGTACCACCTCGACGGGGAGGTAAATGGTGCTCCATGCAGTCATGCCGACCACATGACCTAGGAGGTGTGTATAGACGACACAAGTTGTTCAGCTTAGAAATGGAGATGAGCACCACCCCCAAAGCTGGAGATGAAGGGGAAGCCTTTACCTTTATCAGTGTACCTTTATAATATATCTGTGTATGTGTCATTGTTTCGAGGCTGGAATCCGCCTTGAGTCACCTCGAGGAGATAAGGTGGAATACAAATAGTGTTGTTGGTGTTATTTCTTTTTACTACAGTTTTGTTGATAAAATTGTGTTTAAAAATGTCTTCATACCTAGTTATTGAAATCAAATCCTTAAAGTGGTATATCCTTTCCTGGAAAGACATAGACTTTTTGTGTTTGTGTTTTGTGTCTGCTTTATTCTCGATAAGATTTTGCTGTCTGCTCCACTGACCAGAAGAACACTTACATCTAATTTCCATTTGCCATTAAAAGTTTAACTCGATGGTTTCTCTCTTGCACTACATCATAAAGGAGGTACTTTATAGAAAGCATGTTTCTATTTTAAAAGTAATGCTCTGTCAATATATTTTTATGTTGATTAGGATGATCCATTTTCTGCACTGGATATCCACTTAAGTGACCATCTTATGCAAGAAGGAATCCTCAATATGCTTCGGGATGACAAGAGAACTGTTGTTCTAGTTACTCACAAACTACAATATCTACCCCATGCTGATTGGGTAATGGAGCATTTTTGTTGTTTTAATGAAGAAATGGAAAATGAATTTGTATATGAATGACTCAATCAAATTGAAGCACTTAGTAAATTAAATTATTCAGCCAAAGCTAGGTACTTTAAAAACCCATTGGCTTTAGATGCTCAAAACCAATTGCTGATCCCAACTACAGTAAGCCTGTTAAATGAATAGAAGTGTGTGTTTTCTTTCTGAGTTCCCATTGATATAAATGCTCTGCTCCAAGTGGGACAAGCAAGTAGATTTAATACTGTGAGAAAATTTGAATAAGTTTAACTCAATCTCAGGCATAAATAGAGTGTACTATTCTTATGCTGAAATATTTAATTTCCACTCCACCTAATTTTAAAATTATTTTTATTGTTACTAGTTTTGCTGTCATCACATCTCTACAGCCCTAATAAAACATGTATGTTTGGTAACACTGTACAGCTGTTACTTGGCCAAATAGGAAAGTAGAATTTCAGAAGGAAGACGGTCCTTAATTTTTTGTATTTTTTACAATATCTTTTCTAGCTCTCACAAAATGATCTGAAAAATATTAAAAATAAATAAAGGTAGACAATTATGTTTCACACAAAGTTCACAAACATTTATCTGACAGTCTAATAAGCTTAATATAAAGCATTACCTAATTTAAACAAAATAACTAAAAGAATAGCAGAAGCAAAAAAACCTCAATTCTAAACCTAATTATTTTGGACATATATTGTTCATTTCTGAGATGTAATAATTAACTTTTGAAGAAAAAGCGAGTGGTAATAAATCAATTTTTTAAAAGGATTTCGAATTCTCCTTGCAAACCTTGGTGCTGTTCACACACATGGCAAATCTATCATAAGGTTTTCTTTGTAAGCCTTCAAGTCACCTGTTGACTTTGGGCAGCCATGTGAATTGCATAAATATTCAACATTAGTTAACAAATAATAATCCCCAAGGCATGTGCATACTAGTTAAAAGACTTTGTTAATTCATGATATAAAAGGACAATAAATGTTTAATAATCAATCATTTAAATTGTTACAGATTATTGCAATGAAGGATGGTACCATTCAGAGAGAAGGCACACTCAAGGATATTCAGAAATCAGAAATTGAGCTCTTTGAACATTGGAAAACACTCATGAATCGACAAGATCAAGAGCTGGAGAAGGCATGTTTTGTTTTTCCAACATCTTAACATTATTGTTCCTTATGTAATAAATGAAGCATTTCATTTTCAAATACTGTTATGATGAAAATACTTTTTGTTTACAGAATAGAAGATACATCTTCTTTGTTCATTACATAAGGGTTGTGAAAGTAACCTGTGGCCACTTGGGTTTTCCCAAGGCTGGTCCCCTGGGGATTGAACATCCAAAACAAAATTTAAAAACAAACAAAGACTACCCAGGAAGCCTTGAGGTGCTTAAAAGATTGCTTTTTAATGACTATATTAATTGTAGGATGCCTTGAGTGGCATTACTCACATAGTGTAATGCAGGGGTGGACAACTGTCAGACATTAGAGGCCACATTCATCATCCAGAAGAGTGACACCACTTCTCACTCCAAAACAATAATTACCAATTTTTGAAACTCAAGAACAGAGCTGATATCATTGTAGCCCTTCTTTTAACTAGCAGTTCAAGAGAGTGGACGTTTACTCCCATATGTGAGTTTCCGACTCCATCTTCAACATTGTTCAGTCTAAGCTTACCTTCTTTACCATGGTTAACGGAAACATGAAATGTGCTCCAAACCATTACTTAACCCGTATTTTTTAAACCCTAATCACTGTCTGAGCTGACTTCAGTATCTTCCTCTATTGATAGATTGCATATCTAGGAATCTTTTTGATGCATGCATACCAAACAGATAAATAATCCATGTAGGTTAAATGCATTTGATCACTTTCTTTCTAACAGCAAATTGATTTGAACATAAAATTATCTCAGGGCAAGATTTGCTTTGAAGACATGTGATACTCAACTTCACTTAATTTTCCTGCTTTTAGGAGAGCTTAATTGAAAGAAAACCTGTATTAGATAGGAAGACTCTCCAAAGCACAGTGTATTCCCAAGAGGCTCTACTCCAAGATGATGAGGAGGATGAAGGTGAAGTAGTATTCCAAAAAGGGACATTCTAATTTATTCAGCTGTTTTTTTCACTTAACAATACCAATGTATTAAAGTGTTCAGGAGAAAAAAGTAATGGCAAAGTCACATATATTTCAAGTGTCATTTAAAGGACAGGCCTGCTTGGCTGTGTCAGAAACATCCTGACAGATTGATATTTTTTTATAGATATGTTCTGATTTCCCTGCAAAAAGCTCAGAGTGGAGTCTCTGGTATTTTGAGCACATGATTTTGGATCTAGGCCCTGCCCTGCCTTGCCCTGCCCTGCCCTACATGTGCCAGCTTTATATATTTTTCTGTGTCATATGCTTCCATGCCATTCTTTGTGAAAAATGCATGCAACGTACTCTAAAGTTACTTTTGGTTATGGCCATATTATTCAATATTAATTTTTAGCAGCAAAATGCAAATATAATAAATGCATTTTACTGCACTCCTTAATTGCATTTAAACTTATAGAGACACATTGTTGCAATATTCAGTTACCTTTCTGCATAATCTACATATCACTCATACACACACGTACATTGAGAGTCACTTTGCATAAATCATGACAAAACCAGACAGTTATGTCAAAATCCATACCTGCCTGCTTATAAGTGCATGCTGCAAGTCGCTTCTGGTGTGAGAGAATCAGTCATCTATCAAAACGTTGCCCGGGGGACACCCAGATGTCTTGCAATCCTGTGGGGAGGTTATCTCATATTGATAAGTTCATACAACTAATTTTAAAAGAACCAGACAGGTGATAAAATGACTGCTGTTCCTATAAGCCAATGATTCTCAACTTGTGGGTCCCCAGATGTTTTGGCCTTCAACTCCCAGAAATCCCAACAGCTAGTAAACTGGCTAGGATTTCTGGGAGTTGTAGGCCAAAATACTTGGGGACCCACAGGTTAAGCTTTCTATTCCTAACTTATTGACCAGGGCTGGATACAGGGAACATATAACTCCCTATTATAACAGGCCCACTGGCTATAGGGCCTTAGCACTCACATTTCAGAGTGTTAGTAAGGCCCTGTTAAGGCAAGACAGCTTCTGGACAAGCCTACATAAGTGTAAAATTTACAGAAGAGACCCTTTTCTCAGCTCCATTGCTTTCAGGGGTACATTTGATGGAGAGCCAAAAGAGGGCTGCTTCCTCCAGGACTGCTCCTTCACAGGCTGCTTAATCTGGAGGCAGTCCAGAGCAGTTCTATTTTGGTCAGACCTCACATGTTGAGTACTGGACACTACCAGAAAGATATTAGCAAGCTGTGATGCGTTCAGGGAAGGACAATCAAAATGGTAAAGGTCTGGAAGCCAAGCCGTATGAAGAACAACCTAGGGAGCTGGGTGACTTTTGCCTGGAAAAGAGAAGATTGAGAAATGAAATACAACAGCCATACTTAAATATTTGAAAGGATTACATATTGAAGATGGAGCCAGCTTGTTTTCTGCTGCTCCAGAGACTAGGACACAAAGCAGTGACTTGAAACTACAGAAAAGGGGATTTCACCTAAACATTAGGAGGAACTTCCTAATGGTAAGAGCTGCTGCACAGTAGACTATCCTACCCATGAGCATGATAGAATCTCCTGACTTGGAGATTTTGAATGGTGGTCTGGATAGCCATCTGCTGAGAGTGTTTTGATTGTATTTTCTTGCATGGCAGGAGGTTGGACTGAATAGCCCTTGTGGTCTCTTCCAACTCTATGATTCTAATATGTTCCATGCAGCCTTGCATCACAGCTTTAGAAAGAAGCTCCTGAATAAAAGTAGTTGAATGACTGATACACAAATTGAAGTTTTGTTTACTTGCTGTCACAAGTTTGACAGCAAATTCTTCTTTTCAGAACTAAATTTATATTCTCCTTAGAAACCATAATGCAGATGTAGCCCCTGGTTTCATAGAAAAAGACACCTGAATTAATACTCAGGCCACGTTTCTTTTGCACTGCTATGATTAGATTTCTCCATCTATAAATCATGGCTTCCTGAGAAAACCGTGAGCATCTGTTAAATAATTTAAGAATTTCAATGGGAAAGACTGAATTAATCATGAGTGGCTAGTTCACTGGCCTTCTATCATTTTACTTAGAATATAAGACATCAATCTTTGTTAATAAATTCTTGAGCCACAAACTTCTATAACAACTGGTTGTTGATCAATGGAAGAAAACTTGGGGATTAAGATATCCTGTGTTTGATATTATCATGAGATCTATTTAGTTTATCTTATGCATGCATAAAGATTTGCCACGCATACATACCCATTTGAGGATTTCTTTGGCCCCTTCTACTTCCATATAAAATCCTGAATATCTGTTTTGAACTGGATTATATGGCAATGTAGACTCATATAATCCAGTTCAAAGCAGATAATGTGGGTTATCTGATTTGATAATATGGATTATATGCCTGTGCAGAAGGGGGCCACTTTTATATCTCCTTGGTGTGGGATCCACTATCCCTCATCATCCATGATTCAATCATCTATATATATAAATCTGTTAGGTTGGTTCAACCGGACAGCAAAACTCACAAACCCCCCAACGAAACTTAACCAAAATTCCCATGCCCATAACACAACCCACAAGGTACAAACATATCTACTCAAAGAAAAACAACACAACAACACACTCACAAAACGGCAAAACAACAAAACTAAAAAAAACCAACGAAACTTAACCAAAATTCCCATGCCCATAACACAACCCACAAGGTACAAACATATCTACTCAAAATGAAAAACAACACAACAACACACTCACAAAACGGCAAAACAACTGAGCATGCGCATTGGCCCAGCCGCAAGTTCCCTGGCGCGCGCACACAGCCTTCCGGCCAACGTTCCCTCTGCGGAAGCCATGCCCACTCCAAGCCCCGCCGCGCCGCTTCCCACACACACACACACCCTGCCGCATGCACACACACAACCCCACGCTCCATCACTCCCCCCGCCGCCGCACACACACAACCCCATGCTCCATCACTCCCCCCGCTGCCGCACACACACACGCAACCCCACGCTCCATCACTCCCCCCCCGCCGCACACACACAACCCCATGCTCCCTCACTCCCCCCGCTGCCGCACACACACACTCCATCACTCCCCCCGCCGCCGCACACACACACGCAACCCCACTCCCCCGCCGCCGCACACACACACGCAACCCCACGCTCCATCACTCCCCCCGCTGCCGCACACACACACGCAACCCCACTCCCCCCGCCGCCGCACACACACACGCAACCCCACACTCCATCACTTCCCCCGCTGCCGCACACACACGCAACCCCACTCCCCCCGCCGCCGCACACACACACGCAACCCCACGCTCCATCACTCCCCCCCGCCGCCGCACACACACGCAACCCCACGCTCCATCACTCCCCCGCCGCCGCCCACACACACATGCAACCCCACTCCCCCCGCCGCCGCACACACACGCAACCCCATGCTCCATCATTCCCCCCGCCGCCGCACACACACACGCAACCCCACGCTCCATCCCCCCCCGCCGCCACACACACACACGCAACCCCACGCTCCATCCTCCCCCCGCCGCACACACACACGCAACCCCACTCCCCCGCCGCACACACACACACGCAAACCCACGCTCCATCACTCCCCCCGCCGCCGCACACACACACGCAACCCCACGCTCCATCACTCCCCCGCCGCCGCACACACACACGCAACCCCAGGCTCCATCATTCCCCCTGCCGCTGCACACACATAATAGTCCAGATATCTACCTCAACTTTGATAAGTTTTACTATAGGCCACAGCAACGCGTGGCAGGGCACAGCTAGTCACTTAAATAAAGGATTAGGTAGATGATTAGGATTAGGTATTTCTAGCATTTACTTTCTACTCTATTTCCTTTACTAAAAGCATCCTTCCACCCCCATTTTCAAATAATATTCTTCTCTTTATTAGCACCCATGATTTCAGCATTAACTTCCCTTAAATATGATGTTTCTGCCACTCAGACTCAACCCTTGTTCATTCTTATACTTTGTTCTCCATCTTTGTCCTGTGCACATTGACTGGCTCATTGGTGCAACTGAATTCAATAAATCTGAGTAAAAGAGCCCAGTGGTCCCTTTTTTGTGTATTGGTCTGCAGATGAAACACCAGAAAGTGATGATGAGGACAACCTGTCTTCTGTCCTCCACCAAAGAGCAAAGATGCCATGGCGAGCATGCGGAAAGTACCTTAGCTCAGCAGGATTCCTTCTCTTGCCCTTGCTGGTCCTTTCACAACTCCTGAAGCATTCAGTGATGGTCTCCACTGACTTTTGGCTAGCCCACTGGACATCGAGTGCCATTGCCGTCAAGGGAGCAAAGAACTGCTCTCATGAGCAGGTAATAACATGGCTTTGCTACTTCCTTTTTTAAAAGAGGTCCTTTCTCCTATCTGTGACATCTAGCTGTGCGCTACTATATTTCTAATTTTCTAGTATGATATATATGCTGTATACAATTCACAGGCTTTCCTGAACCTTTTTGCCTTTCGAGGGCTGCAGAAAATCCTTGAAAATAATCCCAGTAGAGATTACTGCTGCATTTTGCCTTTCTAACTATAGCAATGTAGGTTTTATAACAAACAGGATGGAAATTCACTTAGAAAACTGATCCTTTGAGGCTACAACACAATGTTATGAGAGAAAAGATAGGATAATCCTTAATGAAATCCACAAAGCTCCACATCTCGACTCCTTTAATTTTAGCCAAATCATGCACATTCCCCTATTCTTCTAAACACAACACTTGTGTCCTTTAATTTGAGCACTGCTGCAATCCTAAACACTCTAACTGGGAAGTAAATTCAATGGAACTTACTCCTGAGAAAAACACAGCTGGATTTTTCCTTATAAATGGTGGTATGTTCTATTACCAGCATCTCATTTTTATGTCACTCTTCTTGTAAACAACTTTAACAGACCCAATTCAATTCCTCATCTATCTGCTGCTCTAAGGCAATTAAAGACTTAGTCAAAGGCTGGAATGGCATTATATAGTCAGTTTAAATCAGGCATGGGCCAACTTTCGCCTCCAGGTGTTTTGGACTTCATCTCCCAAAAATCCCAGCCAGCTTACCTACTGTTAGGAATTGTGGAAGATGAAATCCAAAACACCTGGAGGCCAAAATTTGGAACTGCATCACATGATCAGTGCAGACATCTGTAATGTGGTTTAGCAGTGTTCAATGGTTAAATCCAGGGTTTGGGTTGGTGGGTGAGGACTATAACCCATGCCGAAGTGGGTTATTTTAACTTGTTTTGGTGCAGGTTTTAGTCATGTGTGAAGGCCCACCAAAGAATGCTGATGCATCACCAAACTACAAATCACAGGATTGCATAGCATTGAGCCATGACAGGTAAATTAGAGGTGAGGTCACTCAAATAGGAGCTCCAGGTGCTCAGATAGGAGTTCCAGGTGATCCAAAGCAAAGGGGGAAGTAGCTTCCTCTTTTGCTTTGGATCAATAATAAGATTACCTCATTATGCAAATCTATTTTTGGGAACGTAATTTAGCCCCAAAAGATGAGCATTAGATTTGAGTAATATGATGATTTAGATCAATAGAATCAAAATATTAGTTATTTAGTCACTATATTTGAAATGCATTTTCATGTTTAATTTGAGAGTATTGTCAATTGAAAAGAATGGGTTTTAACAAATATGAAATCTAAATGCAATCTTTCCAAGAATTAAGAGATGATGTGAATATACTATATATATATATAAGGAGAAAATCTCCTAGGACCGTTGACCTATACATTTAAATGATTCTAGGATATTATGTTTTTCTTCTTCATTCTTAGGAATGCAGATTTGACCATACCCACTATTCAAAGATATTCACTATTCTTTGTGGCCTTGGGATTATACTGTGTCTTGTAACATCAATAGCAGTGGAATGGACTGGTTTAAAAGTTGCCAAGAAACTACATTGTCTTCTGTTGAATAAAATTATTTTGGCCCCAATGAGGTACTCTACTATGTGAAATCAGAAAAACAAATAGTCTTTCTCTATATAGATAGATATAGAGCAGTGGTTCCCAACCTGTGGTCCATGGACCACCAGTGGCCCACAAGAACTAAAACATGGTCCGTGGCTTCACTGTTACTACACCATTTCAACGAGAGCAACTGGTCTCACAAAAGCCTCTTATAGTGCCGAGGTTTATTAAATAAGGTTTTCTGTGGGTGAGCAGGTGGCGACTACTGGGTGGCATATGTTCTGTATCAGAAACTGGAGCTGATGTGGTCTATCCAATGCAGTTTTCTGAATCAGCACCCCAAGTTATCAAACCAAATCTAAAGTTGACCAAAACTGATTTGTAACCTTTTTGGTACTAATGTTAGAAACTGGTCCCTGGTCAAAGTGGTCCCTGATTAAGTGGTCCCTGGTCAAAAAAAGGTTGGAAACCACTGCTCTAGAGATATGATATATGATATAAATTTGAGTATTGTATGTGCAGTTTCACCCTACATGATTAGTTAGTTATCGATTCATTCTTTAACTTGTGGAAAGGATTTCATGCATGAAAATTATTATAATTTAAGTATCCATTATTTAGTGTCCCCCAAATAAACAAGAACTATGGGAAGAAATCAGAAAGCAGTGAATCCAATGCACTCTTCTCTTCTTATATTTCACTTGACCAAATGAGCCTTGGATGAAAACCTGTTTTGTTCTGGCTATATGGACTGGTGCTTTAAAACGTCATTTATTACCATCAAATGGAAAATCAGTGATCTGTGTTTATAAAATGATTTATTAATTGTGCTGTTAAATTTTATATTCAGATAATTGACATGTTTTCTACTATTATTTCTATCTCTTAATATGAAAGATTTTGCTAAGGTATACCAGTATATTATTCAGTTAATTCAAAGAATTAAGAAATCCGATGGACCAGTGCAAAGTTAATACAGTGATGGTAATTAGAATGGCATAACCAAGAATTCTAGAAACTTATCAGACAATGTTTTTCATTTTCCTTTGTTAAATTGTCAAGTTTTACAGATAAAAGTAAAGTGAATAGTCTTAGAATAATTGTAATAGGCATAAGTACAATTTAATAGTGTTTTTCAGTGTCAGACTTGGTCTTTATTGCCTATTAACAGGTTCTTTGAAACAACACCACTGGGAAGTATACTGAACAGATTTTCAGCTGACTGTAACACCATTGACCAGGTATTTTTAAAATGCACTATAGAAATTTGAATATTAATTTTCCTCAAACAGAAAATTCTGATATTGATGTTGGACAAGATGGCAAGCTGTGAGGAAATCAAATATTCCCCCTTAAAAGAAAAGAAAAAAAGGAAAGAAACAGTATTTCATTAGAGCAGACTATGATTCAATTATTTTTAATGGAAATTAAAAGCTACCATGCAATCAGAGCCTGAACAGCTGCAACCAATACTATCTTTGGCAAATGCCACCTGACTTTTTGCTGTGGTCCATTTCTGTTGTTAGTCTAGTCTCGGGATTTTCTGATATGCAACAATGTACCATGGTTTGCATTAACCAAATTAAGAGCCCACACCATAGTTTGAACTTCCAAGTGTACCACATACAAACCACAATGCTGAGTTGCATTTTTTTTAAACACATTTATATCCCGCTCTTCTCACCCCAAAAGGGACTTAAGGCAGCTCACAACAAAGGCATACTTGTCTGATCTGATTCACTGAAAAACACATTTGCTTTTGACTAACTTTTGGCATCTGAATCCAAAATGATCCCAGTTTTTTTCTTTCATGTTAACTTTTAAGGTACAAAAGAAAAGAAAATCGTACAAAGGAAAATAAAGAAAAAATACCTAAATATGTTTTGTTTAGAGTGTTTTTATTCACACAAAGGCTATATATTGTTACTGTAAGTCAAATTGTGTACAATTAGTAACGTTCTGCTACCAAACATACATATTAAGGTCAAAAGTTATGCTCCTCTTTCATTTCACTCCTCTTTCAAGCAAGTTTTTCCAGTTCAGTCTGGATGCAAGGAGTTCTGAAGCCTTTTTATAGTCCTAAATCTCATGCCAAATCATTCAACTTATACTGATCAAATCCCTTATCAACGGAGTCATCTTCAATTTCAAAATCTTCATTGTTTCTGTCACTTAGTTCTTCAAGATACTCCTGTTTTTCAAAAGGGGGTAATTCAGTGAAAACTGGCACTGGGATTTCAGCTGAATGAGGCACTGGGTATATAGCTGATGGTGGACTAGGATAGTCTCTTTGTCATTTATTTTTCTTGTTATATTCTGACATTTTCACTATACAAGGATAACAGTCACTTGAATGATCTCTGGGCTCTTGCCAAACCAAATGGCAATTTATCATGTGTTACCTTCGTTCACACCTGTCAATTTTGTAAATTCTCAACTCACTGCTTGCACACCTTGTGAGGGGCCCAAGACTTATCTTGACCACCAACTTTTACATTAAAATTTGCAAAATAGGCTTGCCTGGCAAACGCTCTGTTTGTTCTTTGACTGATAATGGTGAAGCTGACACAGATATAATAATATGAATCAGAGTTGTTTAGGCACTTACGGTGAGAAATAGCAGAGGCAGACATTATCTGAGGGAAGGAAACAAGCATGCATGTAAATTAATAATAATAATTCTGCTAACAGAATACAGACAAGAACTCAGACTACACTTCGGAATACGATTCACTCTACAGAGTGGCACACAACCTCTCACCACACTGCCTCATTTGTAACTGAATAGCCTAGACAAGTATGGACCTTTTGCTGGTCTCCAAGGCCATACCCAAGGGAGGTTTGTTCTTAGCCAATAGCAGAGCACTTCCCTTGATACAGCCTACAGTGCTTGTTGCATTAACATAAGCTGTAGAGATGTGATGTGATAGAAGAAAACTAACTGCATTTTTGAAATCAGGATGCTTATTTAAATCTAAAGCAGCTGGATAATCAAACACAACATTAAAAATTGTTCCCCAGTGTTGCCGTTATAGGGCACACTTGTATCTATAAGTGTGCCCTATAGCTTCCAGGGGCAGTGCAAAGATCTCAGCTATGATTTCAATTGTACAACAAACCACAATGAGTACAAACTGTAGTTTGCATACCAAACTCAAACTGTGGTTTCAGATCTCAGTTCATCGTTCCCAATTAAATCAGATTTAGTGGGCTGGTCTAGGTTCTGATATCAAGTACCTATTGAAGGAGGTTAGAATTGCTCTGCCCAGGAATCAAGTCTTCATGACCACCTCTTACGCAGTTAATTGACCTTAAAACGGTCTTACATAGATTTTTATCATTCATAGTTCCAAATTTCATCTAGTGACATATAGAAAAAACTGCCTAAGCAATATCCCCCATCTGTTTTGCTGAAAAATATTCAGAAGTATATATGATGTCATTTTGAATGAGAGGAGGATTTCATGTTATCTTTTATTTTCTTGTCCAACACTTAATACTTATCATTATGTTTTCTGTGTTTATTTGCTTAGCACATTCCTGCTACCCTGGAGTGCTTGAGCCGTTCCACCTTGCTCTGTGTATCAGCACTTGCTGTGATTTCATACGTTACACCAATGTTTCTCATAGCACTAGTTCCACTTGCTGTCATATGCTATTTCATCCAAAAATACTTTAGAGTAGCATCAAGGTAAGCATATATTTCCCTTTTCCCCATATATTAAAAGTCATATGTAAATTTGTGTGTATGCATAAATGACACAACGTAAATGGCAAATACCTCACAATTAACCCAACTTTGATCTACCAAATACCATGTAATAATGGTTTCTGTGTCTATTTGATTGAGCAAGATAACTCAATTTGTTTTCATTTTTAAAATACAGCACCTCTTTTACAAATTGGAGATGTGCCAGGGAAGGGGGTACCTTGACTGCTTCTTTTAAAACCAATATTTTTTAACATTTGTTTTTAGGGACCTGCAACAGTTAGATGACAGTACTCAGCTGCCATTACTTTCTCACTTCTCAGAGACCGTGGAAGGTCTGACAACCATACGAGCATTCAGGTATTTTTATTTATTGCACTTGTTTTCCATCACAGCAAGAGTTTTATTACTTTCGCACTAAATAAACAGCCTGACTCCATGTGATAAGGACAGAGAATTGCCAATTTACTTCTATAGCTGTATGTATGTTTTTATTACTTATTTATTTGCTATATTTCTACCTCGCTCTGTCTCACCCCAAAGGGGACTCAGAATGGCTTCCAGTTTTGGCAATTATTCAATGCCACATTACACATAGGGAAACAATACATAACACAATTAAACCATAAAATTAATAAACATAAATACCATTACAACCATTCAACATATTCAAACATATGTATTATGTATATGGTATACACAACAATCTATTAATATTTTCATTTATTTAGAATACTTTGGCAGAATATTGTATTGAGCTGATATATAGAAAAAACAATAAATACAAAAACTACAGAAAGCTGGACATTTTTTGTACAAGTAAATTAGGCATTAGTAATAAAATAGAGAACAGCATTAATAAAAATTAAATACAACAATATTGCATTCACTAGACAGCCAAAGAATGATAAAGAGGAGAGTAACCTTACATCTCCCACAACAGGCTTAGCCACATAAAAGACCCTGGCTAAAATATTCAATAACCCATCTCTCTAGGGAAAAAAGAAGAAGCAGTAGTTCAGATCACTGGTGTTAATTATGATGAGGCTTATATAGGAGGAAGCAGTTCCCAAACCAGCTGCATTTTTGTAAATTCCAAACTTAAACTGGGCTTCAAAGCAAGTTGAAAGTACATGCAAATAATTCCAAACATGGGCCAGAATTCTACATGTGCTACTTAGTTATGTAACTACTTTGGTTTCATAACAAAGTAGTGCATTCTGTTCCACCCTAACACTTCCTGACTTACTGAGCAATAACCATACTGAGTGACAGAGATCTGTTGTCCTGTCAATCAGGACACAGCAAACTGATGTTTCCTTTCCCTTCCACTTGTACTCTCCAGTATAAGTGGAATTGTGGCAGAGATCCTGCTCCTATTGTCATTATCAGAGATCACTCAAAGGAGCAGAATGGGAATGTCTTTGTATTCTCCTTACTATTGTATACTTAGGAAATATGAATATTAATCAATGTATAACTCTAGGTGATGTATTTGTAATTGTAGTTATGAACTCTAGTCAGGCCTGTAAAACACACATTAACTACACTCTGGCCACAACATTTTGTCCTAGTTGAGATTTCCAGGCAACCTTCAATAGCAGCCCAATGTAAAATATACAGGCAGTCCCTGAGTTCCAACCATGTGACTTACATATGAGGGTGAGACCACGGGAATCTGCCCCTTGGGAAGGGAAATTCACTCCTGAAAGAGTCATCATGGAAGAAAGGTGCCTTTACAGAAGCTTTCTTGCCAATCCTCATTTCCATGACAACCCAAAATCTTCAAAATCCAATTATCACACAGCAGAAAGTGAAGTGAAATCTTCTGAACAGACAGCAGAACAAATGCTACAAGAGTATTACCCTATGCTATCCAAAACTTTTTTTAAAAAATACATATATTTGGTTGGATTTAAACTTTAAAATGTACCTGTTCCAACTTGCATACAAATTCAACTTAAGAACAAATCTACGGCACCTATCTTGATTGTAACCCAGGGACTGCCTATATTATAATTTTTTCCTACAACTTCCCTGATCTGGCTGTTCTTTGTTCTGTTTCACCAATACAAATGATTTACATCCAGTTTGTCTTCTTGACTTTTCCCATCAATTTACTAGCAACATTTATGCTAAACCAGTGGTTTGCTTGGCTTTGTGTTGGGCCCGGTTCAGATTTAAGTATGCTTATGAAATAAAAAAAAAAACTTAAATTTGTTGTGTGAAGCAATGTAATTGATATTTGCTTTCAGACAAATAATTTGTTTGAAAAATGAGACAAGTTATCATTATAGTATTGTATGATTCCGATTTAAAGTGTTTAGTTTTTGTAGCCTGGGATGAAGAGAAGTCTGGCCTTATAACGCAGTGAGGAAGCAGTGTATCTTTGTTGGCATTCCTCATGCTGCCACACTTGTGCTATCATTGAGTAAAACAAACATTGCAAGATTTCAAATGAAATTTAATTAAGCAAGCCAATTTCAAACTAATTTATAAATGTCTGTTTCTGTTTAGACTCAAAGTTAATCAGTTCAGTATTTTATTTTCTGCAAGTTTCATATGCCGTTTAGCTATATTTAGGTGAGACAACTATATTTAGCTGTCTCACATGCAATAGAAATGACATTTGAAATCTGGATTCTAATCGCTAAGCAAAGTACTCAGATCTTGAGATTCTAAAATTAACCCAGTAAGAGAATCATGTTAAGGTGCTATTTAGTAGATCCTTGTTTATCTTGATCCTCATGGTAGCTTCCCAAATTGGTTCAACATGGGCAGGAAAAAATCTGCAACAGATAATTCTTCAAGCATATTTTATAATTCACTATCTCTGTGTTCTCTTTCATTTAATAAATAGCTGCTTTTGGATTTATTTTCAATAAACCATACACAAAGCATAAATTCTACATGAACTTACTTACATCTAAGTAAATGTCTGATAGAGAAGAACTGGAATTTAAAGTAAATAATTAGCCACCACTAATATATTCGATAGTGTCATTATCTGACAACATATATTGTTTTAAAAGTCAGAGAATTTTATGATGCTCAGAACAATCTGCCTCAATCTTCCTTACTGGTATGGCTATACAGATAAAGGCTCATTTCTGTTTCTAAAGTTTTATATTCATTTGTATTTCTCTACAATTCTTAGTCCCAGAGTCCCTTTCAAAATCGAACTTCTTACAGAATCAGCTGTTACCCTAACATTTGGATCTCATTATTTAATAGATTTTCATAGAATCATAGAGTTGGAAGAGACCTCGTGGGTCATCCAGTCCACCCCCCTGTCAATAAGGAGGAAAATCGCATTCAAAGCACCCCTGACAGATGGCTATCCACCCTCTGTTCAAAAGCCTCCAAAAAAAGAGCCTTCACCACACTCTGGGGCAGAGAGTTCCACTGCTGAACAGTTCTCACAGTCAGGGAATTCTTCCTAATGTTCAAGTGGAATCTCCTTTCCTGTAGTTTGAAGCCATTGTTCCACATCCTAGTCTCAAGGGCAGCAGAAAACAAGCTTGCTCCCTCCTCCCTATGACTTCCCCTCACATATTTATGCATGCCACTCATCATGTCTCCTCTCACCTTCTCTTTTGCAGGCTAAACATGCCCAGCTCTTTAAGCCATTTCTCATAGGGCTTGCTCTCCAGACCCTTGATCCTTTTAGTCACCCTCCTCTAGACACATTCCAGCTTGTCAACATCTCCCTTCAATTGTGGTGCCCAGAATTGGACACAGTATTCCAGGTTTGGTCTGACCAAAGCAAAATAGAGAGGTAGCATGACTTCCCTGGATCTAGACACTAGAACCTTATTTATGCAGGCCACAATCCCATTGGCTTTTTTAGCTGCCGCATCACATTGTTGGCTCATGATCAACTTGTCCATGAGGACTTTATTAGATCTTTTCTTATCATGTGTCTCTTATGAGACCAAAAATATTTGTGTAGTCTTCATTTATCATTCTTCTTTTTCAAAGGTATGAATCCCGGTTTAAACAGAAGCTTCTTGAATATACGGATTCTAACAACATCGCTTCCCTTTTCCTTACAGCTGCCAATCGCTGGCTGGAAGTTCGGATGGTAAGTGCTATAAGGTTGTATAAAATTATATATTATACCATGTGATTGTATTTTGTTATAAACCTAATTGCCAGCTGTTTTGATTAGGTTCTGGTGCCTTTAATAGTTATGTAGCATCCAAATAAGTAAAAAAAACTTGTTTCATTATTGTCTTTTCTAACCAGGAAAATTTTGACATGTGGAATGTCTGCTTGTCATGCAGTCAATGAAAGCCTTGCAGGAAACCAAAATAAGTCCCCGTTGTCATTTAACATCTTTGTAAATTGCCTGTGTTTTGCAATTTTACATGTTACTGGGCAAAGTCTCAAAAACAGTTATATTATATTATATTAATATTAAACAGCAGTAAAGTTCCTGAAGCATCATATGTAAAGAATGTGACAGAGCTGAGCAGGATCTTGCTCAGCACAAGAGCTGTTCTTTCACTATGATTGCTTAACCAGCTGACTTGGCCAAAAATGATTTGGTCACTGCTACACGTTAAAAATGAAACTAATCCAAAATCTCTGTTAATGAATTTGGGTGAGGCAAAGTTCCCAAATCACAGATAATTCTGGTTTCACATTCTCACTGCTTGGAGAGCATCCAAGGCTTCTCTGTGCAAAAGGTGGGGGCAAATAGCAGTGGGCATCCTCAGCCACCGGCTGCCTTTCCATGCTACCACCAAAAAGCCTGTTCTTGTCTCCAGGCTAGGACCCATTGTGTCAAGAAATGTCTGGCTCTATCCAACCTTCAGAACCAAGGTACTGTGGAAGAGGTGACATGAGAAATCACCTGTGAAAATGGCACAGGTGGTTTCCAAAATCTTTCATAACACCTGTTGCGGTGGATTGAACAGAATTGACATTAAAGAATCAGGTGATTCTCCATAGAGCCAGTCTCTAACAGAAGACGTGTGCAGGGTGATATAATACATTATCTCTAGGTCTTTACCAAGAATTCTTAACATACATCTCTCCTGACTTTCTGGAAAAGGTGAAATCCTGGCTCTGAGATCAGGCCTTTGCGGGTTAGACTAACTTAATGGCAAAGCTATAGTTTTAATGGACCCTGATGGACTGCTCTTAGGACAATGGTGTAAATTGGCAATTGTTTTAATGTTTTTATAATGTTTTATACTGTTTTTACTTTATATGTAAACATATGTTTTTTGGAGGGGGGGTTGTTAGCTGTCCTGAGTCCCTCTGTGGAGGTTGAGGTCGGATGGGATATGAATATCCTAAATAAATAAATAACTGCACTGACCTGCTTGATGTAATCTTGGCCATCATGTAACCCTTCTTTGTGACAGTGCAGTATCCTATATGTAAGCCATACAAATGTTTAGGTCACAAAATGCCCACATTGTTTGCTCTATATTTTAAATAAAGCAAATCCAGATGTCTGTTGTTTGACTCTGAAATTATCAAGAACAGTTTTAATCTTTCATCAAGAGTGTGCTAAGATACAATGTGGGTAGGAGTGTAGTGCTAGGATTTGAGAGACCTAGGTTCACATCTTGTCATACTTGCTGGGCAAAGGGAAGGGAGCCAAAGTCCCTGCAGATATTTTTGGTCTTCCATCAAGCTTCACTATTAAACAACACTGAAACATTTTAAAATTGTACTCTGGCAGAGCACAAACCTGGAGGGCCACAATCTTCTGCCTGGTTTCAGTCTTATTTTGTGAGGCTAAAATAAAGAAGGCAAAATCATGTATGCTTTGACTTTTTAATTTTTCTACTTTTAAAATATTTCAGTGTTGTTGTTTAATTGTCATGCATTGTAAATTGTTCAAACTGATGTCATTGAGAGCCACCCGCAGATTTTATGATATGGAGTAGGAAAGAAATACTTTGAATGAATAAATTTCAGCCTTAAGCTCCTGGGACAAAGGACAAGATAAACATGCAATGAAAAGAATTGAGTCTTCTTGTATAGTATGACTACACCCTGTAACACAGTTTTGTTCCTGGGTTAAAAATGTCATTTCCTAATTGGTTATAACATAAAAGCATGGGAAACATTATTGAACTGGAAAAGCTTTGTTTTTGCAGGAGATCCTGTAGCACATTTTGCTCTAGTTTTTCAAAAACATACCTCATAGAGTCTCAACTAATTCAACATAGTTTGTGGCAAAATGAAGTATCTGGGATGGAACAACTACTTTGAAAATAAGGACTGCACAATTAAACAGGAAATAACACTTTCAACCAGGAACAGAACATTTTTCAAATGTTGTTATTTAGTGTTTTTTGTGTTCTTATTTTTCCTTCAGGAATATATCGGGGCATGCGTGGTACTCATTGCAGCTGTTACTTCCATTACAGACTCTCTATATCACACACTTCCTTCGGGTCTTGTAGGCTTAGGACTAACATATGCTCTGATGGTAAGTGAATAAAGTGAAAATATTCTCCTTGGGAGAGAGTAGAAAGATTGCTTTTCAGTCTCCCAAACTGTTCAGCAGGTGACAGGCCTAGACATTCAGTTGTTTCATGTTTGGCATATTAGGCTCTGTGTTTAAGTTTTTCACTCATAAAAATAGGCAGTGACAATGTGAAGGGTATAATTCCAATAGTTTTATTGATATTGACAAATTGCAGCCTCGTTGACTTATGTTTGCACAGTCTTTAGCCTTTTGTCTGAGTATTTCTTGTCTAAGAAACCCTGTGAAATTCATAGGGTTAAAATAAATGAACAGGCACACACACACAAAGAGACACATAGTAGGAACACAGTTTTTATGAGAATGGATAGTTGTTGTTCATTCGTTCAGTCGTCTCCGACTCTTCGTGACCTCATGGACCAGCCCACGCCAGAGCTCCCTGTCGGCCGTTACCACCCCCAGCTCGCTCAAGGTCGTGGCACTGGATATTTTTAGTCTGGCTCATGAGATACTTGCTACATTATATATGTCATACCATCTATACCAGTTGTAGATAGAAATCTTATTTCATTATTTGTTCCAGGTGTCCAACTACTTAAACTGGATGGTCCGCAACTTAGCGGATATGGAACTACAGCTCGGAGCTGTGAAAAGATTCAACAGCCTTATTAAAACAGAGGCAGAAAAATATGAAGGGCTTATCTGTGAGTTTAGAGCTATACATATTGCATGGAGGGCTTCTTGAATGTTTAATAACACAAGCCAACAAGTATTTTTCATCAGATACAATTTTAGGTGATTCTTACAGAGTTTTTTTGTGCTGAATTCAGATTTGTGTTTTTCCTCCTCTATCACGTGTAGTTTTTGTGATGAGGCTCATTGAATTGTTAATGCATTTACACACTGATATCAGTATAACCTAAATGATATCAGTGTAAATGCATTAATTATTCTGTTAACCTCATCGCAAAAACTACACATGATAGAGAAAAAATAAACACAGATCTAAAGTTGGTGCAGAAAGCTCTGTAAGAATGACTTAAAATTATATCTGATGAAAAATACCTGTTGACTTGTGTTACACTAATATGATGTAAAATGTACAGGAGTCCGCTGTAATGTACCATTCGTCATATTTTTAAAAGTAGACATGATGGGGGGAAAAAAGACACATTTAAAATCGGCATTAAAATGATTTAAACTGTGCTACTCTTGTTTCTGATTATTACAAAAAAGTTTGATTTTGTTGGCTTGTGTAATTAGGACAAAGAACAAGAAATACTGTGTTTATCACCAGTAGTTGCTCTTTTCATAACTTGTGCTTTGCTTTGTATGTAGCTCCTGCACAGATTCCTCAGAACTGGCCTGACCAGGGTGAAATTCAAATACAGAATCTGTGCGTCCGCTATGATAGTACTCTAAAGCCTGTGCTGAAACATGTCAGTGCTCATATTTCGCCAGGACAAAAGGTAATTCAGAAGTGAACCCTCAAGGTAATATTTTTAGCTCTCAGTGTTAAATAAAACCTATATCCTCAAAAAATAGTTATTTCTTAATGAAACCAAATAAATGATCAACAATGTATTGTCGAAGGTTTTCATGACTGGAATCACTCGGTTGCTGTCAGTTTTCCGGGCTGTATGGCCATGTTCCAGAAGCATTCTCTCCTGACGTTTTGCCTGCATCTGTGGCAGGCATCCTCAGAGGTTGTGAAGTCATAAACCCAATTTTCGTAGTTTCCAACAGACCTCATAACCTCTGAGGATGCTTGCCATAGATGCAGGTGAAACGTCAGGAGAGAATGCTTCTGGAACATGGCCATACAGCCCGAAAAACATACAGCAATCCAAATGATCCCCATTTTACAAGATGTTCTGCTTATCAGCATTACTTAATAAATGCTGCTTATTCAATGTTTTATTATAATTCCAGTATGATCTTAAGCGTATTTACTTAGATATATGCTTCATTGAAGTCAGATGACTTACTTTGAGGTTACTTACTTACTTACTTAGGCGATCCCTCGTTGGACGAGTAAGATGGTCTTCCATCATGGGTTTCCTTGTGGGTCCGTATGTGGCTGTGGAGCCCTATTCTTGCTCCGAGATAAACTTTGAGATACTTTGAGATAAACATGTGCTGAGTTGTAATCCTAGCACTATGCTACAAGGACGAGTCAACCCTACCTTATGGCAACCCTCTCGTAGTTTCCTTGGCAAAATTTATTCCAAAGAGCTTTCCCTTGATCTTCCTCTCATTATGATTGCTAACATTTCAGAGTTCTGTGACCTCTTACACAATTGAATGCCCCCTTCATCTCTTCCTCATTTAAATCCCATGAATCTACTCACCCACAAATCTCTTCCAGAGTGAGTCAATAGTGCAAATCTGGGAACATGTGGGGTCTGGGAGGAATATATATTACTATCATTGCCTGTTTTATTGTGAGACAAACTCATCAGAGTACAGCCTCTTTTCACCCTCAGTGAACATCAGGAATTGAAATTGTATGCATGGAAAGAGATAAGGTACCACTATCTTAGGTCAATTGTTTAGTTGCTTGTATATTGTAGTGTACATTCATTCTCACACTTAGATATATGTTTTCAGAATATGCAAAGGCAGTAATACTTTTAAATCCTTAAGTGACCCTACATTATTGTTGCCTTCTTCAATTCTTTCTACACAGCCTGTAACACTGTCTTTGCATGATTCACTTTTAAAGTAACATTTTATGTACGTTTCCTTTTACAAACATGTTCCATTTCTGATTTTCAGATTGGAATATGTGGCCGAACAGGAAGTGGAAAATCATCTTTTTCTCTTGCCTTTTTCAGAATGGTCGACACTTTTGAAGGTGGGTCTGTACCTGTCCACAACAGGCTATACCTTGAAGCAAGACAAAGGCCCTCAATGTCTATTTTTGTAGCCCTCCAGATTCCCCCATTTTTTGAGGCAAAAAAGTGAATTGTATGTCTTGGAAGACACCAAAAATTCACATTGAAGGTTCCCCTGCTCACTGTTTAGCTTTTTAAAAAACCTAATTTTCAAAACTAGAAATTATGCTTACAACAGGTTGATGGAGTTGTTTAGTTTTGAGAACTTTAGCAGTTTTTTCAGCCCTTGCAGGGTTCCAGGAAGGAAAAATTGCCCCCTAAACACATTGTATTATCTTTTTCTGTTGTACTAATGACTTCTGATGAATGGGAAACCCAAACTTGCAATTAAATAGGAAGGAAACCAACAGTCAGACAACCAGATAATGAGAACAACAACCTTTATGAATCTTTTACATTTACTGATTTGGAAATGGCTCTCAATAAATGTAAAAATGGGAAAGCAGCTGGTCTGGATGATCTACAGATAGAACAAATTAAGAACGTTGTCCCGAAAGCAAGGTGCTGGCTGCTGAAGCTGATGAACTACTGCATTGCATTCTGTCAGATTCCCAAACTCTGGAGGAAAGCAAGAGTCAAAGCCATCTTGAAACCAGGCAAAGACCGTAATGATCCAAAATCTCCTTGTTGTGCCATCTTTATAAAGTTCTGGAGAAACTTATTTTGCATATGACTACGGCAAAAATGCACCAGCAAGCTGGTTTCAGGAAAGGGAAAAGCTTCACATCACAACTGTTGAACCTGAGTCAGCACATAGATGATGGTTTTGAAAGGGAACAGATTATAGGAGCTGTCTTCATAGATCTGTCAGCAGCATATGATACCATAAACCGCTGCCTTCTCATGAGAAAAAATTATAATATCACAAAGGACTACCACCTCACCCACTTCATAGGAAATCTGCTACAAAACAGGAGCTTCTTTGTTAAGTTCCAGAGTCAGAAAAGCTGATGGCAAAACAGAAAAATGGCCTGCCTCGGGGAAGTGTGCTTGCTCCATCAGTGTTCAACATTTACACAAATGACCAGCCACTGCCAGAAGGGACAGAGAGTTTCATCTATGCTGACAATTGTGCCATCACCTTTCAAGCAGGGAACTTTGAAATGGTTGAACAGAAGGTCTCCAAAGTTTTAGGTGCACTAACTATTTATTTCAGGGAAAACCAGCTGATTCCTGATCAATCTAAAATGCAGACATGCACTTTCCATCTTAAGAACAGACAAGCATCTTGAGCTCTGGGGATTACCTGGGAAGGAATCCCGCTGGAGCATTGCAGCACACCCAAATATCTGGGAGTTACTCTGGACCATGTTCTGACTTACAAAAAGCACTGCTTGAATATCAAGCAAAAAGTGGGTGCTAGAAATAATATGATACGAAAGCTGACTGGCACCGTGTCACAACCAGACACAGTGAAGGCATCTTCTCTTGCACTTTGCTACTCTGTGGCTGAATATGCACGCCCAGTGTGGAATACATCTCACCACATTAAAACAGTGGATGTGGCTCTTAATGAGACATACCACATCATCACAGGATGCCTATACCCAACACTGCTGGAGAAATTATACTGTTTAGTCAGTATTGCACCAACTGACATCCATCAGGAAGTAGTAGCCAGTAATGAAAGGGCCAAAGCATTGACATCTCCAGCACATCATCTGTTCAGATATCAGCCAGCATGCCAACGTCTTAAACCAAGAAATAGTTTTCTAAGATCTACAGAGATACTTGCAGGAACATCTCAGCAATCAAGAGTCCTAAAGTGGCAGGTTAAAACCTGGAACCTCAATCAGTGGCTGAGACCGGATGAGGAACACCCCCTGGGCACACAGAAAACTGGGCAAGTTAGAAGACACTGAACAGACTGTGCTCTGGCACCACAAGATGCAGAGCCAACCTTAAGAAATGGGGCTACAAAGTGGAATCCACGACATGCAAGTGTGGAGAAGAGCAAACCACAGACCACCTACTACAATGCAGTTTGAGCCATGCCACATGCACAATGGAAGACTTTCTTACAGCGACATCAGAGGCTCTTGAAGTAGCCAACTTCTGGTCAAAGGAAATTAAGTATAATACCAAGTTTTTAACTTTGTTTGTGAGTTTTAATACATTATAATTGTATTCTCAATTTGCTTCTGACATTAAAAATAAATATTAGAGCAGCATCTCCCATATTCATATTACTTGTACTGGGATTGTTCTAGGTTTTATGGTGTTCAATTTGAGGCAGCTATCCTGGGAATTTGAAGTGTTTTTAAAGAAGGTTTCTGATTCCTTTTTGTTGTAACTATGACATTATGCAGGGTTTCTTAATGTGTGTATTTTCAGGAAATGTAAAAAGACCTTGAAGCATAATACAACTAAATTTAGATAGATCTAAACTGTATTGTTTGAAACTGCAAAACACTAAGCTTGAGCTTATTGTTGCCAATGAATTCATTAAGACTTTAATTTGTTCTGAGTTTGATTAAATTATTCACTAGTTTATACTGGACTACCTTCAGCTCTCCAAATGAAATTAGCATCCTGCATTTAGTTACATAAGTTCAGTTTATTTTAATAACATCTCAGCATTGTTAATTCAATACAACAGTACAATTTGCCCTTGGTATCTGATGGCGTTTGGTTGTAGGACTTGGTTACCAAAATCTGTGGATGCTCGGGTTCTGTCATATACAATTGCATTGTAACATTGTATTCCTTATATAAAATGACAAAATAAAAGTTTGCCTTTTGGAATTTTTTAATATGTTCAAATTGTAGGTATGGATAGCTAACTATATATTCTAGTTTTATCTATTTATTCAGTTGGAGTGGAATAAAGAATACTTTCAATCACTGTGTGAAATAACATATTCCTTTCTGACTTTCTGCTTATGAAATATACTTTACATTCAGTGTAATGTAATTTAATTAGAAAAATATGCCATATGCAGAAGAATGTAATCACTATATGTTTTGTTTTAAAATGACAACAGGAAGGATCATTATAGATGGCATAGACATTGCCAAGCTTCCCTTACAAACACTGAGATCCAGACTGTCAATTATTCTTCAAGACCCTATTTTGTTCAGCGGCACAATCCGGTAAGTGTTATCATGCCAACATTAGAAATAAACCGAGTTTGGTCTCGATGGCCTGGTTTCACAGTTTGGACAGAAATTGTTGCCACAAAATCATCACTTCACACTATCTCTCCCAACAGAAAAAGAGAAATATTATTTATAAGAAAAGTCTAAAATTCCCATTAATTCTTATTTGGGAGTTGATTTAAATCTTCTCTGGATCCAAAAATCAGAATTAACTGAAAAGGAGCTAATAATAATAATATGTCAGAAGTGACTTGAGAAACTGCAAGTTGCTTCTGTTGTGAGATAATTGGCTGTCTGTAAAGACGTTTCGATCTTGTACTGTAAACTGCAACCAGACACATGCAGTTCACAAAAAGTTAACCATTTTGATAATGTTTGGCTATATTTTTACCCCTTAGGTTTAACCTGGATCCAGAAAAGAAATGTACAGACAGCATGTTGTGGGAAGCTTTGGAAATAGCACAGCTGAAGCATGTGGTGAAAGCTTTACCTGGAGGCTTAGGTAATATATCCTTCATTTGTACAGATACCCAATGTTAAAAGCATACCCTGTTGTATTTTAGGCTGTGTAATTCAACTTTACAGAGAGTTAACAGTATTATTTAATGGACAGTTCATTTAGAGAACTTTGATTATGGAGCAATATAGAAAAACTAAACATATACAAGCATATGGACAATTTCAACAGAAAGAAGGAAACTATGAAAATGAATAAAATCTGGCTACCAGTATTTTTAAAAACTCTAAAATTAGGACAGTAAATAAAGAGGAACAAACAACAGGGGAAATCCTGACATGAAACAATCAGGGCCAGCTAACACCTCCCAACAAAGATTCCCCAAGGCAGGAAGCAGCCAGACTTTGAAGCTGCAAGGCAATTCAATGCTAATCAAGGTGGCCAATTGCAGCATTCACGCTTGCCTCCAGCAGACAAGAGTTCTTTCTCCCACCCTGCACATTCCACATATAGATAAACTCCACTTGCCTAGTTTCCAATAGACCTCAGAACCTCTGAGGATGCCTACCAGGAGGGAATGCTTCTGGAACATGGCCATACAGCCCGGAAAACTCACAGTAACCTGATGCATACTTAGTTGGCTGAAAAGGAATGGGATGGGAGCAAGCATGTTCTCTCACACCACAGTCCTCTTCAATGACAGAAAATGGGAAGTGAAAATTGATATAATCAAGAATATATACGTTAATTTTCTAAATGATTTTGCTTTAACTAGATGCTACAATCACCGAAGGAGGAGAGAATTTCAGCCAAGGACAAAGACAGCTGTTCTGCTTAGCCAGAGCATTTGTACGGAAGACAAGTATCTTCATCATGGATGAAGCCACAGCATCAATTGATATGGCAACAGTGAGTCAGTAGATCGAATATTGTTTACAAAGGATAAAACTGTGGAACCCCTGAGTTGGAAGATTTATCATCCATGTGTAATTATGATATGTTCCACATTCAATCCCCCTCCCTCCAAAAAAACAATAGCTTGCCCAGTGATATGTGACTGACTTAATTAATAAAAATATTTTTTGCCTACTATTTAGGAAAATATTCTTCAGAAAGTTGTAATGACTGCATTTGCTGATCGTACTGTGGTGACAATTGCTGTAAGTTTCGGTTTGGTTTTTGCTATTGAGAAGCCATGTATTTATAACATAATAGTACTTCGGGCAAATCACATTCTCTCAGCCTCGATGGAAAACAATGACAAACCCTCTGAACAAATTTGCAAAGAAAACCCTTGGATAGGTTCACCTTAGGGCTGACAGAAATAAAAAATGACATGAAGGCACACAACAATACAGCCTTTCTTCTTTTATTCTTGATTTTAAAAGAATATCTAATTAAAACAAAAAAAAATCTTCCATTTTCAACAGATATAAAAAAATAGATATGGGATAAATAATGACTGGCCACAGATAACTCATGATAAGAGAGAACCTTTCTCTTTAAAAATGACCAGAATCCTGTTGGAAATTTGTATATAAAATGCTGTAGTTAAGGTGCTCCTAGTTATGGCCCTGGTGGTGCAGTGGGTTAAACCACTGAGCTGCTGAACTTGCTGCCTGAAAGACTGGTGGTTCAACTTTGGGGAACGGGGTGAGCTCCCTTTGTTAGGCCCAGCTTCTGCCAACCTAGCAGTTTGAAAACATGCAAATGTGAGATCAATAGGTACCATTGCTGCAGGAAGGTAACGGCGCTCCATGCAGTCATGCTGGCCACATGATCTTTGAGGTGTCTACGGACAACGCCAACTCTTTGGCTTAGAAATGGAGATGAGCACCACCTCGCAGAGTCAGACACAACTAGACTTAATGTCAGGGGAAATTTTTACCTTTACTTATAGTGCTCCTATCTCAGTCTCCCAAATCTCCACTTCCTGGGAAGCAGCCACTGTTGATCATTGAAAGTCTCTTCCTTTGTCAATCAAAAAATTGCTGGCTAATGTTTCCTCTCCCTGTAGTGCAACAGCCAGAACTAAGGTCCCTATTACAATTCATCCTTGGACAAAGATAGGTTCTGCAAGGAGGGAGTGGGACCATCGACCAAATGCTTCATGATCAACAGATGAGTTGACCCATTAATCCCAGCAGGGGATTAATCCCAGTAAATGGAGGATGGGGAATTTTCACAACCCTTACATAGGGATGATGAATACAAAACAGTTGTGAGTGTGTTAATGTAAGTTTTGCATGTGTGGCTGCCTAACAGGATTAAAGCCAATACTGGGGCAATGCACTTTCAATTGTGTCTCAAAATAAATGGGAAGATATAGCATATGGAACAAAATCAGAGAAATAGGATTGTTCACCAGATTAGAATAATCTTATCTATATGATAATCTACATTATGGTGATGTTGCACATTAACAAGAGCTACCTAAATGTATTTCTGTCAAACATGATTTAATAAGTAACTAGAATTATTCCCATGTCTTTTGTTTTCCAGCACCGAGTACACACTATTCTTAATGCAGATATGGTAATTGTAATGAAGAGAGGAGTCATTCTGGAATATGACAAGCCAGAGGTCTTGCTGGAGCAAGAAGGGAGTGTCTTTGCTTCTTTTGTCCAAGCAGACAAGTAAATGCAAATAATTAAATCTTTGACATTTCAATTTTATTATCCATTTTCTAATCATGTAAAATAATTGTAAATAAAAATATTGATTATTTAATAATAAAAGGCCTAGTGTCTTCATTCATTAGAAATGAAATGTGTTTTGCCTGTTTGTCAATTAATCTTTTAAGGTAAATTTCCTAGTTAATCATAAGAAATTATTTACTTCACTAGTTTATTTATTTATTTACCCTATATTACTCGAAGGGGCCTCAAGGTGGCTTTACACATAGGCAAATATCTAATGCCGTAAAACAACACTAAATGAACTAATTACTATGCTAAATTTTAGTAAGAAAAAATGTTTTATATAGTATATATTTACTGCAATATATATGGCAATAAATACATTTTAAATGTTTACTTTTCAACTCTGAGTATATAAATAGTTGAAAAATAACTCAAATAATTTGCCATTTGGTTAAATATACTACATATCCAGTAGTCCATAAACATTAAAAGAAATAAAGGAACCATATACAGTACTATTTGTAATTCCTAAATGTTCAGATTGTGGAAGAATATTTGGAGTGTGAGATTTTAGGAATCTGCTGCATTCTTCCTTCATCTCTGTCATACTAAATTCAACTCCAATTTTATCTCATAGCTGAGTCTGTGGTATGTCATAGCTGATGCTTTTTAGCTGTATAGATCATACCTCAAAATTCTGCAATTAAATACTTCTGGAAACCTGTGAATTTAAAAACAAAAATATACCAAATAGATTACTCTGCAGGGTAGAACAAACATTCAACTAAGCAGTTTTACCACAATTTGACTTATCATTTTCCTTGGTTTTGATGCACACACATCATTGAGACCATGGATGCTTTCACAGGGCTTAAAGTAGTTCTTAACAGAAGTGCAGTGGATAAACCTAATTGCAATAGAAGCTATTTTCAAACATTTTGCAGCAAAATGTTTTCTACTTTCTACTCAAGTCTAGTTTCAAAATGCATGAAAATACAGTTCATGAATATTTCTAAGGTTGCAATTTCTGTTCTGGTATGCTTATGTTGGTGCACATTTTTCTTACTAAGACTTTCCTTTAAAAGGTTGTGCAGGGCAAGTTTGCAATTCACATGAACAGCAAATTAGAACAGCATTTATGTAAAGAGAGGGAAGAGGAACAGTCTGTATAAAGATGAATTATATGCCAATTTTGTGTAAGTGAAAAAGAGCAAAAATGTGAAGGCAAGAGAGAAAAAATAAAGATAAATGAATTTAAAACAGCTATTATAGGAGAAATATTGGGCACATGGATACAAGTTCATAAAAGACAAATGGATCTTAATGTGAGCTTTTATGAAAGTGAACATAACTGTAGAAATCTGCTCTTGGGCGCATAAAATGCTTCCAGGTATTTCACTATACAAAAGGATTCTTTACCATATAAAATATTGCTTTTTGGTGTTTTTAAATTTTTATACATGATTAAAGCTATTATTTGCTACTGTTACGCCAAAGCAATAGGGAGTGGAAGTAGTTTGTGTGCCACAGAAGAAGAGGCTGATGTAGTTTTCATATTTTATGTTGGTAAGGTGCATTTGCATCTGTATGGACTCTTTCTGGGTGGCAAGGCACTTACAAAGGAGGTCTCCTGTGTAAGACAGAGTGCCCCACAAACCAGAAAATGGTTGCATGTAAAGTTCTGACTGGAGGACAAGAGAGAGAGCAGGTCTAGCAAAGGTCAATTGCTCAGATAGAGCCACCAGTGGTGCAATGGGTTAAACCCTTGACTGAAGACAGAAGACTGAAGGTTCGAATCTAAGGAAAGCATGGATGAGCTCCCTCTGTCAGCTCCAGCTCCCCATGTGGGAACATGAAAGAAGCCTTCCACAAGGATAGTAAAACATCCAAACATCCAGGCATCTCCGGCCAATTCTCTCACACCAGAAGCAACTTGCAGTTTCTCAAGGCATTCCTGACATGAAAAAAATTGCTTAGATGCATCAATTAAACATCAAGAGAAGCCATGTAAATGGCTGAACTAAAGCAATAGCTGCCTGCACATTATCATCCCCCCCCTCCCCACTTTGGGCAGAGCAACAATGGGAGAATCCATATCCCATCAGGTCTGGCTCATGTAAGTGGGGCACTTTTAATCTAGTCTTTAAAGGAGTAGGCCAATACAGCACAGTGTTGTGCTTTGAGCCTTGGACTCAGTCATGAGCAAGTCACACACTCTCAGCCTCAGGAGAAGGCAAAGGCAAAATTCCTCTGAACAAATATTGCTTCCCCCCCCCCCAAAAAAAAACAACAAACCCTTGTTAGAATTGTATTAGGGTCACCATAGATCAGAAATAATTTGGAGATACACAACCATCACACATTATAGATTCAGCACCATAGACAGCTCCTTTGAAGATTGGCCTAAGTGTTCTGCATAAGATGTTATCTACAACTAACCAGTGAGCTTAACAACTATTACAGCCCAGAAGACATGCATTTATTTATTCAAGCAGATTCAATGACAATACTACTGGTGAGCCAAGTTTTTTTGGAGTCATACTGCGAGCGACTGAAGGTATCACCCACAGCCTGTGTTGCTGCTGCTCTGGGTGCCGCAGAGGCAAGCAAGTGCCCGTGCTGATCTTGAAAGCTCAAGGTTCTGGTACCTGAAGTACCAGCTGTGCCAGTACCACCCTGTTCATTCCTTGGGGTACTCTTTGGACACCCTTCCAGCCCCTTTTCCTCCAGCAATATGAGATAAGGCAAGTAGCCATTGGAGACTAGAACTATATCTGCACATTATTTGATACCATTCTTTGGAGAATCATAGAATCATAGAATCAAAGAGTTGGAAGAGACCTCATGGGCCATCCAGTCCAACCCCCTGCCAAGAAGCAGGAATATTGCATTCAAATCACCGCTGACAGATGGCCATCCAGCCTCTGTTTAAAAGCTTCCAAAGAAGGAGCCTCCACCACACTCCGGGGCAGAGAGTTCCACTGCTGAACGGCTCTCACAGTCAGGAAGTTCTTCCTCATGTTCAGATGGAATCTCCTCTCTTGTAGTTTGAAGCCATTGTTCCGCGTCCGAGTCTCCAAGGAAGCAGAAAACAAGCTTGCTCCCTCCTCCCTGTGGCTTCCTCTCACATATTTATACATGGCTATCATATCTCCTCTCAGCCTTCTCTTCTTCAGGCTAAACATGCCCAGCTCCTTAAGCCGCTCCTCATAGGGCTTGTTCTCCAGACCCTTGATCATTTTAGTCGCCCTCCTCTGGGACACATTCCAGCTTGTCAATATCTCTCTTGAATTGTGGTGCCCAGAATTGGACACAATATTCCAGGTGTGGTCTAGCCAAAGCAGAATAGAGGGGTAGCATTACTTCCCTAGATCTAGACACTATGCTCCTATTGATGCAGGCCAAAATCCCATTGGCTTTTTTTGCAGCCACATCACATTGTTGGCTCATGTTTAACTTGTTGTCCACGAGGACTCCAAGATCTTTTTCACACGTACTGCTCTCGAGCCAGGCGTCCCCCATTCTGTATCTTTGCATTTCATTTTTTCTGCCAAAGTGGAGTATCTTGCATTTGTCACTGTTGAACTTCATTTTGTTAGTTTTGGCCCATCTCTCTAATCTGTCAAGATCGGTTTGAATTCTGCTCCTGTCCTCTGGAGTATTGGCTATCCCTCCCAATTTGGTGTCATCTGCAAAGTTGATGATCATGCCTTCAAGTTCTCAACCTTTCTAATGCCATGACTCCTAAATACAGTTCCTGATGTTGTGGTGACCCCCAACACTAAAATTATTTTCGTTGCTAATTCATAATTGTAATTTTGCTATCAAACTTGGCACACAGAACACCCACATCCAACAGAAAATACTGGAAGGGATTTATTGCTCCTGCAGTCATTCCAGGAGACTATTATTATATATTATTATTATTATTACAGTCGAGTCTCGCTTATCCAACCTTTGCTCATCCAACATTCTGTATTATCCAACGCAGTTTGCCTCTCACCTGAATCCACAGCTTTTTCAATACATTGCTATGTTTTGATACTAAATTCGTAAATACAGTAATGACTACATAACATTGCCATGTATTGAACTGCTTTTTCTGTCGATTTGTTGTAAAACATGTTTTGGTGCTTAATTTGTAAAATTATAATGTAATTTGATATTTAATTTGATATAATAAGTTTTTCCTTAATCCCTCCTTATTATCCAACATTTTCACTTATCCAACGTTCTGCTGGCCCATTTTTGTTGGATAAGCGAGACTCTACTGTATAAAACTCAGTTGGAAGGAACCCCCAAAGGCCATCTAGTCCAGCCCCTTTCTTTCTCCCAGGCAGGAAGATAGAATTATTATTCTATTATTACACATTATTATTATAAATTATTATTATAATTAAACTCAAACAGTTGGAAGGGACCCCCAAAGGCCATCTAGTCAACAACAATAATACTAATATTAATAGTAAGTCAAGCTTATGGCAGGTTCTCCCATCCTTTCTGCTCCATATAATAATACTACTACTAGTTTCAATACTTGTGGGGTCGTCGGCACAGAGAGGAGAGCCGGCCTGTGGCATCCAGGCCAGAAGGCAGGACAAGGCTGAGTGGCTTGAAGTCACAGGAGGGCAGATTTGGGCTGAACATTAGAAGGGGGGCGGGGGAGAGAGAGAGCGCGCAAGAGAGAACGCGAGAGAGAACGAGAGCGGGGGCGCAAGAGACAGAATGAGCGCGCACGAGAGAGAGAGAGAAAATGACAGAGAGAGCGCGAGAGAGCGTGCAAGAGTGCGAGAGAGAGAGCGGGAGCGAGAGAGCGAAAAAGAGAGAGCTCTCCTCCTCCTCCTCCTCCTCCACCTGGCGCGTCCGCTGTGCTGTGGGGACTTCCCTTGCGCCACAGCGCCCCCTGCCGACACCTCGAAGCAGCGCTGCGGCGCCCAGCCCAATGCGCGCCTAGGTGCCGAGCCGCCCCCACTGACCGCTCTCCTCCTCCTCCTCCTCCTCCTCCTCCTCCTCCTCGCGTGGGTCAGCCCCAGGCCGGCGCAGCGGCGATTGGCGTGGGCAGCTGGGCAGGAGGAGGAGGAGGAGGAAAGGGGCGAGGGGAGAGGCGGGCGGGGCGGCGCGGACCCGCCTGGCGGCTTCCCCTCCCGGGCCGGCCTGGCGCTGGGTGTGCGTGGGCGGCCGGGGCTGCGGGTCCGCCTGGGTGCGCGGCCATGCTGTCCAGGAAGGGCATCCTCCCGGAGGAGTACGTGCTGACCCGGCTGGTGGAGGCGGTGCCGGAGCATGCCCGCTACCGGGCTCGGGAGCGGCGGGCCCGCTTCGTGGGCAAGAACGGGTCGTGTAACGTGGCCCACAAGAACATCCGCGAGCAGGGCCGCTTCCTGCAGGACGTCTTCACCACCCTGGTGGACCTCAAGTGGTCGCACACGCTGCTCATCTTCACCCTCTCCTTCCTGTGCAGCTGGCTGCTCTTCGCCATGATCTGGTGGCTCCTGGCCTTCGCCCACGGGGACCTGGACCACAGCACCACCACGGGAGGGGGAGGCGACCCTGGGGACGGCTTCGTGCCCTGCGTGACCCAGCTGCACTCCTTCACCTCCGCCTTCCTCTTCTCCATCGAGGTGCAGGTGACCATCGGCTTCGGGGGCCGCATGGCCACGGAGGAGTGTCCCGCCGCCATCCTGGTCCTCATCGTGCAGAACATCTCGGGCCTGATCATCAACGCCATCATGCTGGGCTGCATCTTCATGAAGACGGCCCAGGCCCACCGGCGGGCCGAGACCCTGATCTTCAGCAAACACGCAGTGGTGGCTGTGCGTGGGGGGCGGCTCTGCTTCATGCTGCGGGTGGGCGACCTGCGCAAGAGCATGATCATCAGCGCCTCCATCCGCATGCAGGTGGTGCGCAAGACCACCAGCCCCGAGGGCGAGGTGGTGCCCCTCAACCAGGTGGACATCCAGCTGGAGAACCCCGTGGGCGGGAACAGCATCTTCCTGGTCTCCCCGCTCATCATCTGCCACACCATTGACTCCAGCAGCCCCCTCTACGACGTGGCCCCTGCCCAGCTCCACCACCACGAGGATCTGGAGGTCATCGTCATCTTGGAAGGGGTGGTGGAGACCACCGGCATCACCACCCAGGCCCGTACCTCCTACTTGGCTGATGAGATCCTCTGGGGCCACCGCTTCGTGCCCATCGTCACTGAGGAGGACGGGCAGTACTCGGTGGACTACTCTAAGTTTGGCAACACGGTGAAGGTGCCCACGCCCAACTGCACTGCCAGGCAGCTGGAGGAAGACAGCAGCATCATGAAGGCCGTGGTCTTGTCCCCAAAGGCCACTGTCAGGAAGAAGTCGGTGAGGTTGAAGCCCAAGTTTACCATCTCCGACGAACCCTCCTGATGCCCCTCTTGGTACTTGGTTGCGCTCTAGAACCTGACGCCGTAAACATGCTCAGAGAAAGTGCCGGATTTAGAATAAGTGGGACCCTGTGCTCGTTATGAGGCCCCTGACTTGGGCTCTGAAGAAGGTTGACCCGGTAGGCCTCCATTGCCTGCTCTGTGGCATACTCCCATAGACTATCACTATGTCTGGAATCGCTCCAAAACAGAACACCTTCAAATTTAGAATTGCATCACATAAGAAAAATCCATCATAAGAAGATTTTGGGGCAGGAAGATGGGGCCCCTGGTCAACTGGGGGCCATACTTAAGCACAGTGGTAAATCCGGCACTGTTCAGAGATTGCCTCTGTTTCTGTTATTCAGGTAGGTAAGGTACCAAGTGTGCAAGACAGGCGTGTGGATCGCAGCATCTAAAACAACCTGAGCATCCAGAATCCCTTCCTTTTTGACTTGCAGGGTTATTTGCACAATCTCTTGAGGTGGAGAAACCATCCAAAACTGAAAGATGGCCCCTTTATTTATTTCTTCTTGTTGAGGACACATTTTCTATGTATTCTATGCTGTTATCTCTGCCTCAGCTTTGGAGAAACCAGACCTGACATTTGGTTGTGTTGTTTTTTTAACTTCTATGCTTCCGGTGATGAAGGAAGCTCAGTGGGTTTAATAAGAAGGAAATCAGTCATTATTTTTTCTGACAACAAAGACTGTAGACACAAGGGTGCCTGTTTACGCTGCCATGCTTCATGTCTTAAGAAATGCACACATTTAAGTGAATGCATAAATAATGTTACAGCTTCTTTCAATGGAAGCAGATTAGGAGGCAATAGAGTTTTGTGGGACACAGGAATCTTGTAATTTAGTTCGGTTGTCTCCCAGTTCTTGCTTTTTGTAGGAACTGGGAGAAGGAGGCAGCTCAAAATATGAGATGACAGGGGTTTTGTGTGTGTGGGGGGGGGGTGACTTGAGAAACTGCAAGTCGCTTCTGGTGTGAGAGAATTGGCCATCTGCAAGGATGTTGCCCAGGACACATCTGGGTGTTTTACCATCCTGTGGGAGGCTTCTCTCATGTCCCCACATGAAAAGCTGTAACTGACAGCTGGGAGCTCACCCTGCTCCCCGGATTCGAACCTCCAACCTTTTGGTCAGCAGTCCTGAGGGCACAAGGTTTCAAAATGGGTTTATATTGTGCCACCATGACCCTCTGCATGTCCTTCCTCTAACACTACTTTAAACTTTGTTGTGTTTTCACAGGGCCACCTCCAGTGAGATTTGGAGACACATTGTTTCTGGCCTTGTTCATAATAACTGAAATGCAAGATGGAAGCATTTGCATCCATCACATTTAACTATTAAAATGGGTTTCAATGCTTTATTTATTAAAACTTGGGTTGTCTTTGATCCCCAAGATTCTTTCCACACTTCTAAAATGGGAAATGTCTCTTCTCCCCCCCCCCCCCAAACCGGGTTGCTGTGAGTTTTTTGGGCTGTATGGCCATGTTCCAGAAGCATTCTCTCCTGACGTTTTGCCCACATCTATGGCAAGCATCCTCAGAGGTTGAGGGGTCTGTTGGAAAGTAGGCAAGTGGGGTTTATTCATATATCTGGTAGTATCAAGGTGGTATCAAGGTGGTATCAAGGTGGTATCAAGGTAGCCAATTGCAGCATTCCCACTTGCCTCAAAGAGACCAGAGTTCTTTCTCCCACCCTGGACATTCCACAGATATATAAACCTCCCTTGCCTAGTTTCCAACAAACCTCACAACCTCTGAGGATACCTACCACAGATGTGGTCAAAACATCAGGAGAGAATGCTTCTAGAACATGGCCATACAGCCCAGAAAACTCACAGCAGCCCAGTGATTCTGGCCATGAAAGCCTTCGATGTAAGTGGGATATAATGATACATAGCAATGACACCTAACTAGCATTAGTCCAACAATATTTTCTAGCAAGTGCCACCTCCCGTGAAATTTGGAGACATATTATTTCTGGCCTTGTTCACAATAACAGAAATGTAAGACTGGAGCATTTCGTCCATCATACTTAACTACTACATTTGGTGACAATTGTTCATTTATTTAAAAATAATAAGGCTGCCTTTTATCCCCAAGTCACTTTTCAAACTTCTGAAATGGAAAATGTAATCCCTGTACAACTATGGGAATTTAAAAAATGTAAATGATACATAACAATAATACCTAAACAGTGTAATTACACTCCCCATAGCCTTTAAATCCAACAATACTTATAAGCAAGTAGCCAGAAGGGAAATAAACAACAATCTCCTGACATTTTGCCTGGCTGTCACATGACCTCATCTGTCAAGTTGCAGTCATGCTTTTTAGTTTGATAGTCAACATAAGAGGGTAGTAGCTGCCCAGAACAGGGTGTTGGATTAAGACCGGAGACACCAGCAGCCAATCCCATGCATTGGGAGACCTGGGGCCCATCACATCCTCTCAACCTAACCTACCTCAAAGGGTTATCACAAAGGTTATAATAGGACAGCCTCCAGGATGGGAGAGCTATTTATAACTGGTGATAACAAGGAATCTACTGTGGAACTTCTCTTTCCACATAATTGAACTGCTTTGATTGCCACATCTAGTTCAGTACTCAGACTTAGGGTGCATCTACACCAGGCTTGAACAAACTTGGCCCCTCCAGGTGTTTTGGGCTTCAACTCCCAGCATTCCTAACAGCCTCAGGTCCCTTCCTTTTCCCCCTCAGCCGCTTAAGCAGCTGAGGGGGAAAAGGAAGGGACCCGAGGCTGTTAGGAATGGTGGGAGTTGAAGTCCAAAACACCTGGAGGGCCCAAGTTTTCCCATGCCTGATCTACACTATATAATTAATGCAGTGTGATGCCATTTTAACTGCACAGGCTTAATGCTATGGAATCATGAGGGTTGTAGTTTGGTGATGCACTGCACCTATTTGGAAGAGAAGACTAAATAACTTGTAAAACTACAACTCCCATGATTCCATACCTTTAAGTCAATGTAACTACCTCATCACACTAGAGAATGAATCCACTTTAAATCTGGTTGCTTCATCCTGCAGAATTCTGGGGTTTGTAGTTTAAGGAGGAGCCTTCAACAGCCTCACTAAACTACAAACCTCAGCATTCTGCAGGAGGCAGAAGCCAGATTTGAAGTGGATTTATTCTCTAGTGTGATAAAGTAGTAAGTCATACATTAATTCTACAGCATAGAAACACCCTTAGAAATGAATTAATTTAACCCAGTAGATGTAATCAAAGTGAGATGAACTTAATTATTTAATATATCACTCTAGAAACCAGGCATGCATTAGGCAAAAAGGTATGTAACTATATTAAAGCAAACAATATAAGGATATGACTTGCAATTATGGAATTAAAGTCTTAATGCATGTTTAAAATGAGCATGTGTATGTTTTAATACATTTGCATGCTTCTTAAAATCTTTGTTACATGAATAAAGATGAGATAGGCACACCAATAAGGCAATATGTTCTGCACCCTTTGCACAATATGAAACAGAAATAGTCTGTGGCATGGCATAAGAGTGAAAGAGTTTAATTTATATTGTGGCAATCCACAATTTTTTTATTTAAAGCTGTATTTATTAAAAGTCAATAGTGCAATATTAATGCCTTGGATGAAGATCATGGCATGTAATGCAATGAAGGATAATTTTTGATATCTTACCTATCCAATTTGTTTGCAATTTTCTGTGCATTTTTCTACCAGGGGTGCAAGGGCTCTTTAATTTCCTATACAGTCCCATCAGTCTTTACAGCTTGCCTCTTTCAATAATTGTTAAACTGTAAAATTGTCATATGAAATTGTTAATTTCAAATGAAAATGAATTGTTTTCACTTTCAAAGGTGCCTTATTCCGCCTTCTTACCAGAATGATTTTGAATGGTGTCCTTACTGGTTGCTTCATCTCCAAGCCTGCAATTCAGAAACCAAGGGTGCATCTCTGTTGTAGAATTAATGCAGTTTGACATCACTTCAACTGTGATGGCTCAACACTACCAAATCATGAGAGTTGTAGTATGACCATGCCTGCCAAAAAGTCCTGGTGCCTCACAAAGCTACAAACCCTACGATTACAGTTGAAGTGTTGTCAAGCACAGTAATTCTATAGAATAGATACTCCCTAAGGCCCCTTCCACACAGCTGAATAAAATCCCATTATCTGCTTTGAACTGGAATATATAGCAGTGTGGACTGAGATAACCCAGTTCAAAGCAGATATTGTAGGATTTTCTGCCTTGATATTCTAGATTATATGGCTGGTGGAAGGGCCCTAAGTCAGAGCACTTGGGCTTACAAAAACCTCTAAATCAGTGATTCCCAACCAGTGGTCCACAACAATGAAAATATGGTCTGCGGCCTCACCATTACTACATTGTTGCCTCAAAACCAGGATAACTGGTTTCGCAAAACCCTCTTATAGTGTCAAGGCAACAGGGATGTCAGGAGGGGTGAGGCTAACTACCCACAAAAGATTACTACTACCACATCAGCTCTAGATTATTAAATACGGGTTTGTCTGTGGGCGAGCAGATGGCGACTACTGGACGCATATGTTACGTATCATAAACTAGAGCTGATGTGGTCTACCCAATGCAATTTTCTGAATCAGCACCCCAAATAACCAAACTGAATCTAAAGTTGACCAGAAACAGATTCATAACCCTTTTGGTACTAATGTTGGGGAGTGGTCCCTCGTCAAAGTGGTCTCTGTTCAAAAAAAGTTGGGAACCACTGCTCTAAATTATTTATGGATCCAGACCAGTCTGAAACTCAAGTGCATGTTCTTTGTTAAGCTGCAAATGGTTTTATATATTTTCAGAGCACAGAAAATGTTGTCTTCTGTTAGAAGTTTGTAAATGTAAAAACTTTGTGTTTATCCTAATGAAATCAGGTAATTGATCTCTAATGGGTTTGAGGACTGTTCATTAAAAATAACCTGATAGACTACTATCTTGTACTCACTTAACTGAGAACAAGAGCCATTAAATTCAGTAGATCTTCTGAGTGGACACACACTAGATTGTACTATTATGCTCATATTTCTTCAGATGCACAAGAAAATATATGTTGCTTGTGATATATGGTTGTTGTCAGAATACAGTGCTACCTATATTATTGTTTTAATATACCGACTTGTGTGTACTCACATCAGGAAAGTTCTGTGACCCTTGTGGTGATGTTTGATAGCCTGTCCCATCATCACTCACTATTGTCTTAGGCCCCTTCCAGACAGCTAAATAAAATCCCACATTATCTGCTTTAAACTGGAATATTTGGCAGTGTAGATATTCTGGGTTATATGGCTGTGTGGAAGGGCCCTTAGACTGGTTGGTAAAGGTTTTCCCCAGACATTAAGTCCAGTTGTGTCTGACTCTGGGGGTTGGTGCACATCTCCATTTCCAAGCCAGAGAACCAGTATTGTCCATGGACACTTCCATGCAATCATGCTGGAAGTGTCCACGGCAGTGGTTCTCAATCTGTGGTCCCCAGATGTTTTTGGCCTTCAACTCCCAGAAATCCTAACAGCTGGTAAACTGGCTGGGATTTCTGGGAATTGTAGGCCAAAACACCTGGGGACCCACAGGTTGAGAACCACTGCCGTGGACACTTCCGGCATGACTGCATGGAGCACTGTTACCTTCCCACTGGAGCAGTACCTATTGATCTACTCACATTTTTTTGCATGTTTTTAAACTGCTAGGTTGGCAGAAGCTGGAGGTTCAAATACACTGCTCCCCGTATTCGAACCTGTGACTTTTTGGTTAGCAAGTTCAGCAACTCATCGGTTTAACCCACTGCACCATTGGGAGCTCCGGCCCTTGGACTACTTGAAGTCAAAGTCAGCAACATCTGGAGAGCCATGTGATCTCCACTCTGGGCCTACCAAATGACAGGTGTGAAAAGAAAAGACATATAATAAAAACAACATCATATTTGCTTCTCACCTATATTTAATTTTTCTCTGAACATTTTCTGAAAACGTGGGGAATGACATGATCCCATATTTCAATACCCATTTGATTTGTTATTGTTTGAAAAAAAATGAATTTGCCATTTAATTTTCTTCTTATTTAATCTACAGCAAAGACAGCACTCCTGACATTTCGCTATTACGATCCTAATAAGTTTAACCTCTATATGCACAAATTTATTCAAAATTATTTCCTCTTTTTTGTTGGGAAACTGGTCACTGTATATAGAGATGTAACTAAAAGGAATAAGCCCAGTTATTTATCAAATTTCTAATCGCATCTATTTTCCAAATACTGAAAAGCCCATTTCCATCTCAGTGCCAGTCCTCATTTCACTACCTTCCCCTGATCACAAGCAAAAAACAACCCAACAGAAGCATCAACTGAAATGTTTCCAGGAGAGTTCCCATTGCTACTCTTACAGTTAGTCTTTGAC